AATAGTTTATTCACTTTTTTGATGAGCGTTTTCAAGTATTCTGAAAAATCACACAACAGAATCATTTGTAAGTTACAATTAAAAATCTTACACTAGGTAACATCCAATAACTTTCAAATGCACATAGAGCAACAAATCACAATCACTGCAAATGTAACAAACAATACCAAGTATACTTCTTCCGCACATTTAAGGACATCTTCTTATATAGGATATGCTCTTACATAACTGTACACAAAGCGCTGTAACTTATACGTAGTTCTAACTGATTTCGAGTAATGGATCAGCAATTTTGATACAGACGTCATGCAATCATCCTTACGTTGTTCTACAGCATCCGTGTTTTTGTTTTATTCTTTAGTACATCGCTGAATTATAAAAACTCCAAATATATACTCATGTAAAACAAATTGCTAAATAAGCGTGAGAACAAGAACTAAAAGCGGTTTTAAGTTTGAATATGTGTATGGTTGCGATTATGGATGTGAGTTTGCGTGTTGGTGTGACTCTTGTCTTCGCTCACACCCACACATATGTACATGAAGACTCACTCATCGACTCTGCCCTTCATTATCGAAGGCAAAAAGGTTGAACCCGATAATGAAGAAGAATACCAAGGTACCTATTTTGATGATAACGATGAATCGATGCGTGGCGAAGATAGAGTTTGTTTTAAACTTTTTACGAACGCTGTCGGCAGGCTTGCTTGAAGTTGTCGTCACAATCAAGACTAGAATCAGCTAGATGAACCAAAAGCCACAAAAAGATCGAGAGAAATGTACTGGTTAAAAGACAAAAGACCACTACCACGGAAAGAATAATGAATGACTTCATGATAATGTTATTATAACAAAACTTGATTTGAGAGTATGTTTCTTTTGCATCCGAATACAACTGATCAGACTTCTAAATGTGATGACGCAAAAAATACTTAGGATAGTCTAAAAGTAGTGGCAGATGTATTTTAATTTATCATAAAAAGATTAAAGGAACTTTCTCTCTCTATAGTTTAATAGTAAAAACAATATTCTATTTCTCTGCGATCTTTGCTCATTTTTCAACTAGTATCACAATAATAAAATTTTACTAAGTTTTGTTTGATATGATATGTGATGATAATATTAGATCATCTTTTATATTCAATATGTATCTTCTTAACGTTGTCAGTTTTCTTCTTTTCTCTGCTTTTTTTTCTTCTTCTTTTTCGTCTTCTTTAATACTTAGCCATCTACACATAATAGAGTGTACTAAAAGTAGTGGCAATAGAACAAAAATGAAATACAGAAACAAATTCATCCCGTTTTTATTTCATCAAATGTTTAAAGTAATCATCATGATTATTCACATACAATTGCGTTTGTTGAATCCGTTTGTCGAACATATTTCTGTACTCTTCTTTACTTAAAGAGATCATGCAGTTAAATGATAGCAGATTCGGAAAACAAGCAGGTTTGGTTTTCTTGTGATACTTTCAGATTCAAGATAACTCGACACATCTTGATGAACGAGTAGTCTTCCAAATGCTGTGATAAAATTTAGTACCATTGAAACCAAATTTGAGTCTTTGCTTTTTGATTTTGTTGAGGGGAGTTCGTAAACAATTGTCGATGTGATACTGTTGGTCACAGAGGTGCAGAATCTGCCGTAAAAAGGGAAAATTTCCTCAAGCAGGGAAATCTTTTGAAGAATTTTCCCAAACCTTATACTTTCCAAAACTTCATCAGACGCAATTATTTTTCAAAAAACTTTCTCCAGACACAATGATTTTCCAAAAATTTCCCCAGACTCAAAAAATTTCCCCCAGCGCGCGCTTGCGCACACGGGTAGATTCTGCATCTCTGGTTGATCAGCAGTTTTCCCAAGTTCCAGCTGATGAATTAAAACAGGATTAGTTGACTTAGAAAAAGATGCTATATAAGATTTTCGGAGAAAAATAGCTGCGTCAAATCATTGTAAGGGAGATCAATCCTCGCAACAAGAAGAATTCAATGACTTCCGACGAATTTGTTTACGATAAAACCACGACTTCTCACCTGTTATCACATCACATAATGTCTCATACCATAACTACATCTTTTAACACATACATCAACAATAAGTCGTTTAAGATCTGAATGCACATTACTATTCTCGATTAACATATTTTCAATGGTACCCAGTAGCACTAGATTGAAGTTTCTCGAACATTGTATATTTTCCACTTTCCATGGCTTTTCGAGTGTTTTCTTTTGAACTCAATTTCAAATAACAAGAACAAAAGTATTAAAATATGAAAAAGAAGTATTTATTGTTTATGGACAAAGAAATTTTGCGTATATACATGTATTGTCGGGAACACAAGTCAAAAGATTTCTACTGTACTATTCTTTGTATGTAACATAAAAAATAGATGTTAGGAGCATGCTTTATGAGAAAACGAAATCAGACAAAAGTCTGATAAATTTGTAAATTAAACCCGAACTCGACAGGATCAGACAATGTTGAATCCGAATCCGTTCCCGAGTCGGGTCGAGCTGCGGACTCTCTTGCAACAATGCACATCAACTGTGCCATATTCAATAAAATTTAAGAGAATTCCAGTTTATTTAGACAAATTTTTTGTAGAGTCATTCAGTGTAAAACAAATATTAAAAAATCGGAGTAAAATCTAATTTTTGGAGATTCATAATGGACTAAAACTGAACTATTTTAATCAAATAAAAATCTAATTTTTAGCCTTAAATCTTTAATTTCCTCTTGTATGTACATTTTTTTTCCTAACTTGTCTGATCGATTACTACAATTTAATAAATTTTAATCAATTAGTGAAATTTAATCGATTTGATGGCTAAAAGAATATCTTAAAATCAGAGAAAGCCAAAACTTTATGGCTACATATAAGAGTTTTATCAGATTAAAATGGTGCAATTATAATCAATTGTTAATAAAAAAAAATATTAATGTTAATCTGATTTTTAACTTTGCTTCTTTGGCATGAAATATATTCCCGATAGAAATATACAAATATGTTCATAACTTACACTAGGACAAAAAGACCGATTCTAGATTTTCATTGTCGTTCAAAACAAACTGTTTGAATCTACTTAAGATTTTATTATATTGACAGTAATAAATAGCTTTGTATCTTTCTTGAATGCTTCGATAAAAAGAGAAGTTGGACATAATTTGTCAAAATAATCAAGACAAACAAATTTTAATAACATGATTCATGATTGAGAGATGGTATTTATGTATTAAGACTAAAAAAATATTAATAGAAGTGACAAATTTCTATAAAAATGACACTATTATTCAAAGTTATAGATTTCCTAAATGCATGTTATCTTTCAGAAGAGAAGATATGTCCATTTCACTGCTTGTCCTTGATGGTGATAAAAAATGGCAGAAAGTGAATATTTTGACAGGATCAGCATCTTAGTGTTTCACTGAGCAGCGATATCAATCTAGTTAGTATTTCAATGGACGCACTGTCGATAATTCATTGTCAGTTTCCAGTATTTTCATCGAAGTTACATATCCTTAGATAGAATGTATGATCAAATTGTATTAACATAGCCAGATAGGGATTGAAACGAAAGAAGTTCAAAAATGGCGATGGACATGGAAATGAAAAATAACAAGAAGATAAAAGATTTGTCAGGATTGAACTCCGAACAGGCAAAGTTTTACTTTTCTCAAAGACTTAATTTTCTGCTGCATACGTATTCATCTCTTTATCAGTTTCTTTTGTGAACAATAACTACTGATGAAGGAACCTGCTATACTCTTAAATCAATTTTGAATAGAAACTTTGCTCAAATTGGTATATTCTAATAATTAAATTTTAAAAATTGACTTAGTTTTTGCAGATCTTGCGAGGAGAATTATACATTAACAATTGTATCTGTTTCTTGATAGCGCGGATGTTCAACTAGCTCGATGTCACATAATCCATATCACTAAACAAAGTCAAGTCTCTTGATGATATATGATAAAGAGAGAAACAAATAAATTAAATATTGAGATTTATACTCTATGCTATAATAGTCACGTCGAATACAACTATAGAAACCACATATTCACAATCATACAGATACAAACCAAAAAAAAAAGGAAGAGAAGAAATACAAAGATAATACGAATAATGGCACACCATGTCATCATAATTGTGTAGACTATCTCGATATTTTCTTTTGACGATATGAAATTAATTTAAAACGATTTAGTTGTGCTTCAATCGATGGCATGCGAAATGTGATGATTTTATTATTTTAAACAATTCGTAATGCTTCCGTTAAAAATAATAATCGAGTAGAAATCAAACAAAATGATCTATCTCCAAGAATACTTGTTACTTATCGTTGTAGTTCATGTGAAGTATTGATACAAAATCCAATATATAGATCAGCTTGTATTCAAACATTCTCTATAAAACTATTCAAATTGGGTCATTAATATCAATGTTGCCAAAAAAAAAATTTGATTCTTTTTTCATTAGAATGTCAACTCGAGTGATTCTCAATTTTAATGTTAATCTCCTAGTTACGTACGATGAATATGTGGTTGAACACAGAAACTTACGGATGATAACTCAATGATCAAAATATAGTAAACGAGATTTTAATTCAAAATTTCGATTATCTAGTAATTATTTGTTCAATAATTCTTTGATACAATATGATTGAATAATAAATAATTAGCCTATTTTGGACTTTTGCATTTTTTTAGGATGAGATTTTTTTTTTATGAAGAAAAAATATACTCGAATAGTTGTAGATGTATTTTTAATATAGATCGTTATGTCTGTGTGTATGCTGTCTCAATGTTATTCTTTTATTGTAACGAATTCATTCGTTAGAATTTTTTGAAAGACAAACAACAGAAAGTGATGAAATGATGTCCATACATTTCAACCACTTGAACGGTTAGAATAACAACGAGAAAGTAAATTAAAGGTTTCATTTTATAATCATTTAAAAAGGGGTGTGCGCAGTTGTATTATTGGACTAAAATTCTACATAATGCTTTGTAAACCATTATTACGCCATTTTTTTATCTCAATTAATCGACGACAATTTCATAGGACACATCCACGTATATTAATTACAGGCAAGAAAACTTATGAGCTACCTATTTTGAGTGACTTTTCGACACAATTTCATTTCAGGTGGATGTGGGCAACTAGGCATACCATTAGCTAAACGATTACGGTAAGTAATCGAGAAGAATTTTAAAGATATTCTCAATGATTTCTGTAGAGAATTATATGGTGTTAAAAATGTTGTACTCTCCGATATTGTTCGACCTTCGGATGAACTTCTTCAACAAGGTTTGATAAACAATTAATTGTTTCATTTAAAATATAAAGATTTTCTAAAAAGGAACATATCAATATGCTGATGTAATGGATATTAAACAAGTTCAAGAACTTTTAGTTAATAATCAAATTGATTGGCTTATTCATCTCAGTGCTTTACTGAGTGCTGTTGGTAAAATTTTAATTTTTCAAACAAGACTATTCCTTTTTTCATTATTGCTTTTTTAAATTTTAGGTGAAAAAGATGTTCCGTTAGCAATGAAATTAAATATTGAAGGTACACATCATATTCTTGAATTAGCACGAAAATATAAATGTAGATTATTTATTCCAAGTACAATTGGTTCGTTAATTCAATCACTGTTTTTTTTCTTGTAAAAAAGATCGACTTTTATTTTTTTCAAGGTGCCTTTGGACCTGATTCTCCACGAAATCCAACACCAGATTTTTGTATTCAACGTCCTCGAACAATTTATGGTGTATCAAAAGTACATGCTGAATTATTAGGCGAATATTTTTTTTATAGATTTGGTGTTGATTTTCGATGTTTACGTTTTCCAGGTGTTATATCAGCTGATACAAAACCAGGTGGTGGTACAACAGGTTTGTTTAGATCTTAAGTTTCTTTTTATTGTTTCTTTTTTATCTATTTGATTTTTTCAGATTATGCAATCGAAATATTTCATGATGCTCTAAAATCTGACTCTTATAAATGTTATTTACGTGGTGATACACGTTTACCAATGATGTGGATTGATGATTGTATTCAATCGATTGTTAGTATTATGGAAGCATCAAATGATCAATTAAAACAACGAACATATAATGTTGCTGCAATGAGTTTTACACCAGATGAATTAACAAAAGCTATACAAAAATATAAACCTAATTTTAAAATTTCATATCAAATTGATGATCGTCAAAATATTGGTAAAAAGAAGATTTTATTTAAAAATAATTTATTTTCCTTTTTTTTTCTTTAAATAGCTGATTCATGGCCAGAAGTATTTGATGATCATAACGCTCGTAAACATTGGAATTGGAATCCAAAAGTTGATCTTGATGGACTTGTTCAAAGAATGTTTGATTATTTAGAACGACAACAGAACTTGAAATAGTTATTAACAGTTTTTTTTTTCTTTGGTCTAACTAATGCAAATAAAACAAAAACTGTTTGAGTTTATTCACCTAAGAGTGAAGAAATAAGACGAAAGAACTACACAAGAAAAAAAAACAATATTAGTTTATTGAAAAGAGATTCGTTTTTTGAATAATGATTAGTTATTAATGATGTTGTTGCCATTCGAAAGAATTATGATTGAACTATAGTGAAAAAAAAAAATGCAAATTTGTAATAATATTTTCTTAAGATCGAAAATTGAATGGAGCAAACCGAAACAAATCTTACTGTGTTAAATGCAAATTTTATGAAAGATTTATTTTACCGACATACGTGAAAACGAGATATTTCGTATATACAGTTGTTTTGTTTTTGATTGATCACTTACAGTATACCGAACTAAAGTGCACTACGTAATTATATACTTATTCTGAACTAAAGATTATATCTTTGAAAGTCAATTAGACTTTTTAATCTATTAGGAAATATTTGGTTTTTAACTGTTATTACTTAAGGCATATCAAAACTAGTGGTAGTAGCACTATAATACCTAATAGAAGGCTCGAAGGAAATTCCGTATGTATAGATGTATAGAGATAAATAGTCCAAATAATAACTAGACTATATACATTGAATATTCAAGTGAGATTTATTCACAATGAACGTTATTGTGTTTTTGTCGGTCAGGCTCTATCTCTCCAAACAGTTAAAAGATAATATGCATGGTTTTGTGAAGATCAAGAAAAGTTTAAAGACAAAGTAAGATATCGCAAACTGATCTAAGTCATGGCATTATCCAACGAATAATTTCCGATCATCGTAAGCTTAAAAAAATGACCGCTCATTGTATATTGACACACGTGAACTTGAGAATAGTTATAAAATATCGGATTTCAATTTACAGGCCTAACAAGTTGCCCTTCATGATAAGATTCTGTATAATCTTTTAACTGTTCTAACAGATAGAGTCTGACTGACGAAAAAAATATATAGTTCATCATAAATAACTCTTGCTTGTATTACATACAATGCTGTACAAACTTTAATGTAGAAGCGAAAGTTTTCTTTATTCATCGGAAATCATATGTGAACAGTTTTCATAGAAATTCTAATATTATCGTACGAACTGAAAAATGATGAAATATTATAGAATTTTTCTCAAGTTTTTTATAAGGTATTATTGTGCTACTACGACTACTGTTGATATGTCCTAAGTATAATTCAGCTTTCGACATGTTTAAAACGAATTACCTGTCTCGATTGATATGATTTTTTCCATTCATATGGAACACGTTGATTATTAGCTTTTCTAGGTAACCGCTTTAAATTAACATATGATTGAAATGCTCGTGGTATAGTTGGTGAATCAACACGTTTTTGACGTTTTATTGATGGTTTATAATAAGAACGTGTACTATTACAATTAATACCATCAAATCGATCCATACAACCTTGTTTTGTATCATTGAATATAGTACCAGGTGGACATAAAAATATATTATCTCGACTTCCAACACATACATGATAGATATTACACCAATCTAAATCAGCAAACATAGTTGGTTGATTTTTATTGATACAATCAAAACGTGTTCTAAATAGAAATACAATCTAAAAATTAAGTTGTATACTCGAATCAAATTCTTACGGAAATTGTCCAGTAGCATCAACACCTTCGAATAAAATTGAAGCTTGTTCAGCTTTTGGTTTTGACCGAAGAAAAGTTCGTGGTTGTAAACAAAGAGTTCCTTTTTCTTCATCATTAGTATCTCCTTGATAATCACATTCTTTTTTCTTTTCATTGAATACAAGACCAGCTTTGAACAAAATGACTTAGTTTTGAATACTTTAGTAAATAAAAATACATACGACTACATTCCATAGTTACACCAACGCCTTGTTCATTACATTGTAAATATAGATCACAATATCGTTGATGTTCATACAGACCAGGACCTTTACTTATGCAAAACTCGGAACGTAAATTCGATAAAATATCCGTTTCAGCTAATTTTTCGATAAAAAATCTTTACAAAAAGAATGAAATTTATTTAGAAACTTGTTTGTTTTTCCTATCCAACTTACATAGCCTTTCCATTACAATCAGCTCCGTCTGGTGATCGTTCTTTAGACCAATCACATCTACCTGTTGTTTCACTTTCTTGACGCCATACCTACAATATTTCAAATCTTTTACAATCAGATTCGTTTTAAACAAGAATATATTTTTTAACAAAATACTCAATCCTTAATTGAATTTTTTTTTAAAGCATACTCCACATTTCTTTCTTTGCTTTTCGCTGATTATAATCAATGATTTACATTTTCAACCAAGTAAAAGTCATACACTTTTCAAAACCTACGTCTGACCATTGACTATCTTATATATAACTTACTAAGCCTCGTGTACAATATTGAATAGTATCGAAACCTCCATGACAATTATGATAAACATTACAGTAATATAAATCCCCATAATCTCCATTTTGTTTAACCATACAAAATTTTGTTGAACGTCCTCGAGTATTATTTGATCCTGGACGTATTGAATCATCAAGTCCTTCAGTATCTATTATATAATCAAGAAAAAGAAAAGAACATTCTAGTATATAATTCAATATAAAGAAAAACGAACCAATAAATTTTTCTCGACCTTTACAATCAACTTTATCTTCCCAATCACATTCTTTTGTTTCTTCATTAAACATAAGCCGATTTGGACACCTTTTTGGATAATCCATAGCTGCTTGACATTGATGAAATGTATTACAATATCTAGCATCTGGATAATTTCCATCCGGCTATTCAAAATTTAAATTCTTATTTAAAATACAAATTAATTCATTTTATACATACTAAACGTTTACAAAAATTTTCTTTAATACCTTCCCACATATAATCTGCTTTTCCTTTACAATCAACATTAACAGCCCAATCACATTCATTTTTTTCTATTGAATATCTTAAATTATTTTGACATGTAAATACAACATCTTTTCCATTTTGACATATATAATAACGATTGCAATATTGTTCATGAGCAAAATTTCCATTTGGCTAAAAAACAAAGATAAAATTTTCTTTTTTCAGTTAATTCTTTTCTTGTTGATTCACTTTATCTGCACAAAATCCATTATTCTCACGATTTTCAACTAATATATTTCCACTTTTACATTCTGTCAATTCAGGCCAGTCACATCGTTTTAAAGTTTCATTAAATACTAATCGTTCTGGGCATTGTAATTTAACATCAATATCAGCCATACATTGATGATAAACATTACAATCTATATTTGATAAAAAACAAAACAAAAAAAAGAATAAAGAAAGTTTATTATTGAAAACAATAGTCAAACTTACAATGTGGATCCATATAAAATCCATTTGCTTTTTCCATACAAAATAAACTTGATTTCATTGAAAGAGCAACAAGAGTACGTCCTGAACAATGAACTTTATCTGACCATTCACATTTTTGTTGTTCATTATCCCAAAACAATTGATTAGGACACTGACGCATACTATCAGTGCCAGATTCACATACATGATACACATTACAATATTCTTCATGTGGATAGGATCTATTGTAAAAAGACAAAAATAAAAATAAATCTTTAATTTTACGAAGCTTTCTTTTTACGATAGAAAAACAGAAAAGAAATTGAATTACTCAGATGATGTTTTTGTTACATGAAATCATTGAGACTAACTATCCTTGAAAAAGTTTTCATGTGTGTATTCTCGTTAATGTGAACATGTTTGAGAAATATGAAAGATTCTCCGGGATATGCTCTATTTAAATTATGATAATTAGCATGCTACACTGTTCTTTTATGATTATTTGTATCTTATCAATAAATCGATTACTCTAAATTTGATCTTTTACATACTATTCTTTTACAATATTAGATAAGGTTATGTAAATTTGGTTATTAAAATGGCAGATAGAAAAAAAAATGATATGACAATCTAATCATGACATCATATTTATTAAGAAAGCTAAAATCCGATTTAGTAAAGATTAAAGTTATTCAATCAAACGAATTAAATTTAATTGCTTAAAAATTAAAAAAACATGTATTTTCTTTTGTTTTTTACATATTTCTTACCCTTCTGCTTTTCCTGTACAAAATGTTGAATTAAATTTATTTTCACTGGGTAACATTTTTTTCGGTGGACCGCAACGAACAGATGATTTCCATCCGCATTCTTTTTTTACATCGTCCCATTGTAATTCTCCTGTACATCGTACAGTATTGTCGGTACCACCAATACAATGATGAAATACATTACAATAATTTTCCGATGCATAACGACCATCTTGTCGATTTGTACAAAATGATGTTTTACTTTGTACAACAGGCATTGTTTTACCTGTACAATTAACATTTGTTGCCCTACAAGTAAATCAATATAAATCAATAAAATTGAAGTATTAATAACGTACCAATCACACATTTTCTTTTCTTCATTCCAAGCTAATTGATTAGGACAATGTTCAATATAATCAATGCCAGCTATACAATGATGATAAACATTACAATATAATGGATCTTCATAATAACCATCAGCACCAAGAATACATTCAATTGTACCATTGGTTAGGCTTAATTTTGATTGTGATGTAGTTGTAATAGAATCTAATTTATTTTCATCAACTTCAAAGAATGCTGCTAAACGTGTTCCACAATTAACATTTGAAGCCAATTCACAATCATAAGAATATTCAGAGAAAAGATGACCTTCTGGACAAAGATTTGGTTCAGGTATACCTAATGGTGTACAAGTATAATACATATTACATAATCGTCGATCTGGATAACGAATATTATTAACACCTGATGGACAAGTGAAACCAATTTGAGAAAATAGTGAATGCACATTATTATTGTTTGGCCGAGATGTAATTGCTTTTACTGGTACAAATGGTCTAGGTCGCAAAGTTGTTGTCTGTGTTGGATATGATGCTCGACTCGTCGATGCTAAAGTTAAAATTTTATTGTTAAATAAGTTTTTTCTTGCGTTTTTATTGAACTTACTTGTTTTTGGTAATCTTGCCATAATTTGTGGAGGATTTCGAGGCCATAAGTGTTCTGGTACTGGATAAGGTCCTGGACCAGGTAAACCTGCTTGTGCAGCTGCTTCTGCAAGTAAAACAGGATTAGGTAATGATGGTTTCATATAATGTGTTTGATTTTGATGAATTATTGATTGATTATGTTGTATTTGTGACCATATATTTGGTGGAATTAAATGAATAAGTGATTGCATTAATCTTCGATCAGCTAAGTGTCGAGCTGCTTCTTCCAATGTTGTATTATAAACATTCAATTGTTTATTATTCGGTAAAATTTTACGAACGAGATGAGTTTTATTCAACCAATCAACAAGTAACTCAGTATGATTTTGAACAAATGTTGGTTTTGTTGAATTATTAGTTAGAAACATATCGGTTGTTTGATTTATTTGTTCATGTGGTGGAGTTGGTTCTCGATAATCAAAATTGTAATATTCATTTTCTGTTGATGGTAATGAGAAATTATTGAATGAGTGAGTACTGTTATGTTGTGATATTGTTTTTTCAGTTGTAGAAATAAAGTCCGTTTTGACTCTTGAATCATTTGTCATTGTAAGTGGAAAATCGCTTGTTGATATTTGTGACGAAAATTCACTCGTTGATAATGTTGTTCTTTGATCAAACTCTAAACCATTATTTAACGGACTATTTAAATCATCTTTTTGAAATGATGATGATGACGATGATCTTTTATCTGCATTTGTATCATCAAATGCTTGATGATAATTTTGAGTATAAGTTGATGGATGTTGTGCATGAAGTAAATCTTTGAGAAAAAAGAAAAGAACATCAATCGAATTTTAGTGTTCGAACACAAACCTGCACCTATGCATAAAACTATGATGCATAATAAATGATATCTCCATATTGACATGTTTGTTAAGTGTTCAATTAATCAATATAAGAAGAAGTGAAATCGATGACAATGACGACAGGCGATAGTGACCTAATCAAATTGTTGTGTGTACGAATGCAATTACTTGAGTTTATCTCTTTGCATGCTTATGTACTCCGTCCACCACTCTCTCTCTCTCTTTCGCGCGCGCTTTTTGTCTTCTTTTTTTGTGCGTGTGTGTGTGTTTGTATATATGTCATTGTTTGTTTTACACTCGATCTTAATTGCAAAGAAAGGCGAAGAAGCTTTAATGTCCAGCCGATGTATACTATAGAAGAAGGCTTGACACGAAATACCAAAAAAGAAAAAAAGGAAAGAGCAATGAATACAAAAGAGAAAAGATTACCTATTTAACTATGATCGAAATGATTGTGTATAATATAGATTACGAATTCAACCACCAAAAAGTCAGTTATTCATTGTTTAAGTAAAGAATTTCGTATGCAGTGACATTGAAGAGAATATGTTAGGTATCACATATGCAATGCAAAACGTTTCACATATTACTGTTACGATTGCTTTTTGTCGGTTACTACTCGTTCGAATACCGAAAATTATATTAAATCATAGTAGAGACCTAATAGATTAATAATTTATGTATACATTTACAATCATTATTTTTCTATTTGATTTTCAATACACGTCAAATGCTCATTCATGACGTGATGTGAGTTTATTTAATACTTAATAAGATATCCTAGCTGATTGTTATCTTTATCATGTTATGTTAAATATTCTTAAATGATAGGACACACTCATAGAAAATATCAATCACAATATGCTCTTGAAAACCTTAATATTGTGTCCTTCTCTATGTATGCGATAGACATATTGATAGTATTTTTGCGGCCTCGTCTCTTTTATTGACACAAAGGACGAGTATCAGATATGCTTATTCGAACACGTATGATATCGACTTACTATTTATGATGTGTACTGTTATATAGTCGATATTCTTTCTTTTTTTCAAACCTTATTATATTGCACAATATCACTTCTGCTGTTGGTCTTGATCATTCAATTTGGCTTATTACGAGTCATGAGCATGTCATAGGATGCCCTTGAAATAATGTGTTTCTTCTCAATGATTTTTTTCTTTTTGTTGTGATTTGCACTTTTTAGTTTGCGGCATTTACAAGGTTCATTTCTCGTTTTTTGATTCAACGATGATATATTAATCGAGTAAAGCTAGACAAAAACCAATATTTTTCTCAATAGACTTGTTTGCATGTAATTCGTAACGCTTACGTAGATACTATATAAGGTTGATAATAAAATTTGATATAGACACTTCATGATATAATTTGTGCTGAATTAATTTATTAATATAAACGAATATTGCTGGTAAAGTTTCATTTTAACTTTTTTCGTTTTTTTTTGTTCAACAATATACTAAAAAAGCTGAAACTGAAAATAGAATATAAATAATCGAGAAATGTCAGCATTATTTTCACACAATTATAATAACTTTTATTTTCAAAATTACTTTGCTTCTCCTAAACAAAAGAAAAAGCATTATTATGATAGAGAATTTCTCAGACAACAGTCGCTGTTTCCATCTTTATATCCATTTGGTGGCTTTCCAACGACTTATTATCATCAATTCGATTGCTCCAATATGAACACAGAACCAATACGAAATATAAATCAACCAAATGGTCAATATCGATATAAACAGTATATGTCTGATACGGGTACGATCCAAAACTCCTATTGGCAACAACAAGTTAACACTGCACCATTACCCATGTATACAAGATCTCTTCCTTTTGATTGTATTAATAACACACTATATCCTTATGAAAAAGGAACACAATTTAAGCCATATACAACGCATTTTGGAGTAGATACCAAAAATCTTGGTGCTACTGGAAATTTAGACTCTGGCTACTCAACAAGGTTAGCTTATGGTGCTGGATCAAATTCATATTTTTCAAATACTAGTGGTAATATAGATTTGACACCAAAGATTAGAGTGATTTTCATGCCAACAGCATCTCTATCTTTTCAACAATCATATGCCGGTCCTTTAGTAAGCTTTACTTCACTTACATTACAATAAAGAAATACTATGATTAAAATATATATGTATATTTATACTTTAGTGTATGCCACCTTTTCTTTTCAATCGTATGTCACGACCTTTTTGTTCATTACCATTACCCCCACCTTTACCGGACATCAGCTCATTGCCTGTTGCACCCGCCATTCAACAGATGGTCACACAACAATATGCTAATCCAATTGCTGTAATACCTTTTACGCCAAACTGGCAATTATCTCAACCAATGATGTCAAATTATTCACAGCTACAAGACATGCAAAAACAACCAATGATGTCTATGCCAAATTTGCAATCATTCCAATTTGTTGTACAACCATATATTACTCCTACTTTAAGGTCAGGTGGCATACCACTGTTACCAACAGACTCTTCAACTTTACCACGTTTCTCTAATCTAATTTCATCCATACCTCAATATTCGACAAGCAACTATTTCAGCATATGTCGTGCGTGTCCACCAGGACCACCATTGCTTAACATTCCAGTTACGGATCATCATTGGATACACCATTGCTCTGCTTGTCATCGTGTACCTGCTGATTCCACTAAGCCAAATATTCGACCAACTAATGGACGAATTACATCATTACTTCGTCGTCCAATGGTACTACAGAATGTAGATAGTCCAAGAATTCAACGACAACAACAAAAATATCCCCATATCAATGCATCCGTTACGATGCGTCCGTGGTTACATAATATGCCGCTACTTTCACCAGATACAGTTATCAATTCTGATAAATCTTTTCGAAAGAGTCGTTTATCTCAAGCATTCTATTACTCACAAAACTATACAATACAACCTTCTCGTGTTGCTAGAGCTACAAGACGATCTGTAACCGTAACAACAATTAGTGATAATCGAAGTCAAACCAATAAAGATAGCTCAAAAAAACAACAACAACAACATAAAAGTAATATAGATAATAATACAACTCAATTACAAGATAATTCCAATGATAGCCAAACAACATCTTATTTATCTGCTTCAGACACTAAGGGCTCGTCTGCTTCAGACACTAAGGGCTCGTCTGCTTCATTAACACAGTCGTTGTGTAATTCATCAACTGCTTCTGATTATGAAAAATCTGATACCACTTCATGTAAAACTCAACAAAGTGTTAGTCAAAAGAAACTATCTGTAGAAGCACATAATGCCAGTCATTTTTATGATTTTCAACCTTGTGACTTACTTGCTGTTTATCACTCCATTGGTCATATTAAATCAGATGATGAAGATTCAATCTCACTTTCGAATTCAAGTGTATCATCTAATGTTTCTATTCATGAAGAATATAATCAGAATAATCCACCATCACCTACTAACTTTCAAGTAATGAAACAAGAAGAAGAAGAATCAAAACAAGAAGAGGAGAAATCTCTTAATGCTCTTTCTCCTATACCATTTCAATTCGAAGAACCTACAGATAGAACAACTTCCTTACGAGAATTTTTGACAAAATCTCCGTCAACAATTAGTTCAGCTTCGTTTGATACAGTATTTAGTATTATCGACGACGACTTGGACTCTTTTTCTATTACCAGCACGACAAAAGACGACACATACGAAGAAAACGAAGCCGTATGAACTGAAACTCTTCAGTATATGCATGTTTGAATACATAAATTACTATCATTTATTTTTTCAATATCTTTTTCCTAATAGTTTTTAGCGGAAAGTAATATTCTACAACAAGATTACTCTTTTTTTCCACTGAAATAAAGAGTGAACATTTATATTTATAAATAAGTTGATTTAATACTCACTATTGACTTTGTCTTTCTATAATTCAAGACACAATACGACATATTAAACATCTATTATAGAAGAGTCCTGTCATTTACATTTAAAAAAATCATATTAGATAGAGTGAAAATAGAAGCACATGTCAACAACATCATTCCTGCGAAGCAATCGAAACTTAGAAAAGGCTGTCTGTTGCAAACAAGAGTTCTGTTAATGTATCAAAAAATTTTAAAAACTTTAGCCGAAAACGTTTCTATTCTAGGCACTTTTGGGGATTATAAGAAAGCATATGATGTGGTTTGGTATAAGGAACTAATTGACAAGTTATTTCGGACGCAAATACCGTTAGAAATTTTAAAACTTCTGAGCAATTGGCAAGCAGACAGAAAGACATACATAGTTTTTGATAACTCTAAGATCGCAGTGCTTAGAATAGATATAGGTCTGCCCCAGGCAGCTCTTTCAGGTGCTATATTTCCATAATTATTCAGCTTGAACTGGTCTTCATTGTAGGTGCGTTCTCTACCCATCATTTTGCTGATGATCTCAGCACTATAATCGTGCTTCCAATTCGACATGATTAATTTTATCATTATAGCAGTATCACGAGTATGTCAAAACCTGCAACCCATAAATATCTCTAAAACCGTCGAACCAATTTTTCATTCATAAATTAAACATTTGCAAGTAAAAATATAAATGAATTCGCAACGATTCGATATCGTACAAACATTCAAATAACTAGAATTTGGGTGTAAAAATAAACTATCTTTAAAAACCGCAATTAACAAATGTCTCGAAAATATCCAGAAATTCTGTATTAAACTAAGGTAGCTTAAACGTAACAAAGATATATTCATCCAAGTACCGAGAGCATGATTTTTTTTACATACTTCTCCTTTTCACATGGATGTTTCCATTATTTCCTCTGTTGTCTGTAATGCTACAGAAGCTCCTTTGTGAAAAGCATATAGCAAACCTTCGATCAATGTATCACTGTCCCTTCATATACCCGAACGACTTATTTAGTTAGATTAAAGAAAAAGACGATCAAACATTATGTGTGTAAATATTTGTAAAAACGATTAGCAGACGGACAGATCAGATATAGGAGGGCCACTGTTTCTTACCGAAATATTCTACTGAGACATATTCACTAACACAAGTACGCTCAAGATAGAGAACTATTAGGAACTCGGAGTCGGAGAACTCGTTCATTTGTCACGTGTTACGAAAATTAATCAGATACGTCAATCTTATTTATAACATGACCTTCATTCAACAAAGATTATCAAAACAAGATGATCAATATAAATAAAAAGCCTAAGACACTTTAGTAACTCGCTTCAATACTGCTATTCCCCATCTCTATCCTTTTTCTCCTCTTCTTTCTCTCTCACTTTTTATTTTTATCTTTCCTTTTTATTTCTTCGCTTCTCATCTCTTTTTTCTGTTCTGTTCGCTTTCCCTATCTCTCTTTCTACGACTTTAAGAAAAAGATACGGTTCTTGCCCAACACAAAAAAGTGTATAGCTTATCTTTGTATGCATTCAATAGATGTTCTACTTACGTTATCTTCATTAACTGTACCTGGCTCATAAATTCATTATGAGCGCTCCCGACAGGCACAGAAGAGTTGCATAACCAAAAGAAAAATTGCATTTAAATGAAACCTTTTTATTGTTTTGAAAATGTTTCCCTATTAATTTACTAACGATTGAAATGATCAACTAGAATCATTCGTTTATAAAACAACTCTGTTTTGTGTTACAAAAGTCTGTTTGATTCTTTTTTACGACACTTTTACCATCGTGTTTTATCCTTGATAGACACATTTTATTATTTGAAATTAATGGAGACTATGTCTATTAATCCAACGATATTTTTAGTTTACTTCATTTTTTAAACAAAATTTATCTCTTGTCAATGTTTAAAACTTAAAGAAACAGATGATAATTTGTTCATATAATTATTTTGATAGTTAAATAAAATATATATTTTAATATATGATTATTGAGTTAAATTTAAGATGAAAAAAAAATAGAAGCATAAATTAAAAAGTTCGATTGCAATCCATTACAATTTCTATGACTAATTATGATCAACACAGATGATCAACAGTTGGCGATGTATTTGTTACTGATTGTTGTTGTTGTTCTAATCCACCTTGAATATTATTCGAAATTTGAGTAGATGGAGGAAATAATTTAAAATCTGACTGTTTAGCTACTTCTTTTATTGGTGGAAAATTTCGATCAACTGGAATATTAATATCCGATGTATGACGAAGTAACATTGATGAACTAGACGTAGAAAAAGAGAAAACATAATTCGAAAAAGAAGAGTTAACATTTTTACTCACTATGGTAAATTAGCTTCATACATTCTTTCATTTGGTACAGGTAATGAAAAATGTTCAACAGGATGTAAAGTACCACTTCGATCTGTATATGCATCGCGATGTTCTTGAGAAAGCTAGAACATAAAAGTCTTCTACATTAAATCAAATTAAATAAACAATGATTAACTTGATAAAATTTTCGTATTTCATTTGTTCGGTCAACATTTGTATTATTAAGTGAATATTTTGGTATATAAAGATATTGATCACGACTACGATGACGATCACTCATCACAAGTTCTGGTTGATGAGTATATGGAGTTGGAAAATATCCACCTAAGATTAGAGAAAAAAAAACATTTGAAAAAATTAAACAAGAAAAAAGATAAGATAGAGTTAACCTCGCGCATAAAGACTTTTTGATGAATTAAGTGCTTCACTTCGATAATCTTGAAAATATTTTGCTGTTGCATTACCAAATGTTTCACCATATTGAAATTGAATAGTTGGAACATGACCTAAAATCAAAGTTTAATTATCTCTTTCTTTTCTTTTTTCTAAGTTTATTAAGTTACCTCGATATCCTGGCATGAGTGATGGTGGGTAATAAGCTAAGGTATTAAACATAAATATGAACATAAGAAAATATATTGTTTAGGACACATACTAGCATTATAAGTTGTTTGTAGAGTGCCTGCTGCTCGTGACATTGTTAATATGAAAAGTTACCAAAAGTCTTAAATATGATCTATAATCGATTGGATTCAAAGCAAATAATATGTTTTTCACAATAGTGACATAACAATCTTTGTTGCTGTACATCGTCCTCTTTTAAATAACAGAAGTTCTTGTGTGTCGCTAGTGAGCAGTACGGCATAGCCGCAAAAAAACGCCTTAGCTGAGGAATCAATATCCATGCATTCATATAAACCTAATTAAAGATAAATTCTTCAATTAGAGAACAATTAAGGCATGCTAAAGCACTTTCTTGATTGACATAACTAGTCAACAATTTCAATACAGTTGTCGAAATCTTGCACAACAGTATTTTGCTCAGAAATATCGTAGAAATTCAATTTTTTTTTCAATTAAAAAATCATATTAAACAGTAGCGATGATATTACTTTGAGTGTATCTTCATTGAATAAACCAATTATTTTAATATGTGTAGGTCTTCTCTTCACCTATACTCTACAATAAAATTATAACTGAGTATTCCTCTAATGAATAAAATAAAACTTTGTTGTAAGAAGATAACACCATCAATTTGCGTTTGTTCTACATATACATTAAAAAGTAACATGAAAGTATAACACCTTTGAATAGTAATCTGTCTCATACATCATTGGCCGATTAAGAAGCAAGGTCCGTATTTCTCTTAAAAACAGCTAATGAAGAAATATCTTGGATAGCTCTATTTGCTTTACTAAAGGTATCCATTAAATATACTCGGTTTTTTAAATATAAATGTCGTACCGAAGTTACACCGGTCGATGAAGTTACTTCAATTGAAATAAATACCAATTAATTTAGGATATTTAAAAAAGTATGTAAAATTAAGTTCATTTTTCATTTTTAAAACAATTTTATCGCTCTTTTACGAATAAATATAGAATAAATTACTCAGATAAATCAAACATTATTTCTTTTTATAATAGTCTATATGATTATAGATCTATTCTAATGGCACTCTAGGCCAGTAACTAATGAAAGAGATCTCTAGAATACTATCGTCTGATTTGAACAATACTTCATAATAATAAGAAAAATACTATCTATAAGGACAATTCAAACGCCTATTATAAAAAAAAAATAATGGTTGATGTTTCTGAATAATTTCTTCTATGTTTATTCGTAAGAAAGTGATAAAAATATTTTAAAAATGAAAAAATGAATTTAATTTTACATATTTTTTTAAATATCCTGAATTAACTACGTAGTATTTATTTCAATTGAAGTAACTTCGTCAATTTTGTCTGTCGAAGTTATAGCTTCGTCAACAATTTTGACGAAGTTATAACTTCGTCGATCGGTGTAACTTCGATACGACGTATATGCAAGTGTTCAATCGTTTAGAAGCATTGGCGTCTTTTATCTCTGTGTTTGTCTACTATGGACATATTTTCGTTAATTCAGATTGGCTATCGTGGGATGACATTTTGTTAAGCAAAAGTTGTTTAATAATAATGAACTTGAGAATAGGCTATATATAGTTTGACCTAGAGGCCAAGGTGATGTTCTATTTTCAACCAATGATTTGTATTCAGCTATATGGCCGATTGAACTTTGTCCGTTTTCCTACATATATATATATATATATATATATATATTGGTTGTGAGAAAGAAGGAAATACTTGTTCATATACTTTCGCCGAACACTGTTCAACCACAATGGCTGTTGTAGCTGCTCCAGCAAATTTGAATGATGCTCAAGAAGTTGAAATCTTGATTCCGTCAACAAATAGTGATGACAACAAAAAGCATAAGCTTTATCAACTAGAAAATACGACAGCATATGCAGATGAACAAATTGAAAACGTTTTCAATAGATTAACGGATGCTTCGCCAATGAAAAGAGGCTTTGTAAGAGTTTTTGATAAGAACTTAACTATTTAAATATGCCTATAATTGTAGTTACATGCATTGGCAATTGGTTCGCTTATTGTCGTTGTAATTAACTTATCTGCAATGTTTTTGGCCCTTAAATACACTTCTATGGAACTTCGACAATTGAAAAAGTTTATTGAAAAGGAGTCGAATTCAATCACTCAAATGGAATATGACCAGAAGCAATCACATTTTTTTTTATATCGTTTGGTTTGCATAATTATCATCTTCTCCATGCTGTTTAGTGTGGCAAGAGCTCTTGATTTCATCAAAATATTTCAGTATATTAACTGGACAGGGATGCTATCATTCTATTTTGACTTTTTATGTCTTACACTTAGTTTTATTACTTTTATTCTCCTATCAAAACGAGCAGAAGTATCGGTAAGAAAAAAACAATTTAAAAGTGACTGTATTTTATTTGAATTTTAATGTCTTTTCTTCTTATTTGTTCACAAAGGGTGAAAATATATTGTTGAATGTACCAACTTCATTTTTTTATTTAAAACTTATGTGTTTATCAAGTTCTCTGCAACATACTATCCTTAATGCTATTATATTTGCGGTAAAATCGGAATATTTCGACATTTTTTTTAATGACAATCAATGTTCATCAACAGCACAGGAATTCGCCGTAACGAAAGAACATACGAGTTCTCAAGAAAAACAGGAAGAAAAACGAGAAGAAAAACAAGAAGAAAAGCTTGATCAAGAAAAACAAGAAGAAAAGCTTGATCAAGGAAAACAGGAAGAAAAGTTTGTTCAAGGGGAAGAAGAAGAAAAAAATTTTGATCAAGAAACAGAAGATAATGCAGATAAGATTTGTGAAGACTATGTCATATGTTGAATGAACATCATGTATATAGATGTTGACTTGTTTCAGCGTAAAAATTCATTCGAATAAATTGACAATAATAAATCTACAAATATAACGAAGAAAGTTTTACAACGAGTAATGCTGACTGCTTTTTTCTTACAAATACATGGCAAAAAAAGTCGAGTATTTCTAACTTAGCTATTCTAGGAAGAATCAAAGAAAAGTTGTTGTATGGCGTTCCTAGACAAAATTCACTTGCATTTATTCTGTGATCGGAGTGCATGACTGAAAAGTTACGCATATGAGAAATAGACGAAATAGAATGACAACAAAAACATCTGGTATCACATATTTTAATTGGTTTCATTAGAAACCGTCGTCACTTTCAGCGAATCTAGTAATACTGAATGCGGCAAAAGTTTTGCGACACTTGTGTCTTACATCTAACCCTGTTTAGGAACATGATAAAACGTTGATCTTTTGTTTGAAAAGGTGCATCATTGAATGTTAGAAGTCGAATCAAAAGACCAGATCTTTATAAGTACTAGTAGTTGCAAAATTTCAATAGACTACTAACACTAAGCAAGTGTACTATCGTATTATTTTCTACAAAGAAAAAAAAGAAAAAGTCGAAAATTGTGGAATTTCGGTTTTGATAACTATCGTTCATTCATTTAAGCTATAACGTCTGGAACTATTAAGAGAACTAGTGTGACCTTCAAAATAGGAGGATTACTACTCATCTTCATCTCAAATCCAGGTGAACAATAATGTCTGCATCGATTGATCTGGATGTTCCACTCTGAAATGAAAAGGTTTTTTACTGCATTACCCTCAAATACATGGTCTAAAAACAATGAGCTCGACGCATAAATTGCTAGATTAAACTTTCTCGACTGTTGAAAGAAGCAGCAAAAAAAATGAACTAAGCTTAACAAAATAATACCCTAAGAACTTGGCTTCAAATGAAGATGATGAAAATACGTTGGGAAAAAAATCAGCACTGATCTCGTAAGAAGTCTTGATAGAGTGAGGAACGTTTGGGATTTTTACATTGCTTAAAACAGTCCACTCTATTTAATATTGATTTGATTAAAAATGACCTTAGTTGTCAATCCTAAAATGGACTTTTCCGATTTTTCCTTGTGAGAAATAACACGGCGACACACATGTTCAGCGTTAGTCGTCTATTAACATTTCGAAAATAACTATAAAGATCCAGGCTTATGATCTGAATAGAACATTCAAAACAAGATCTTTTGAAAAACAAAGATCAACGTTTTATCATGTTCCTAAACAGAGTTACATATAAAACAAAGGATGTCCCACAAGTTCTGCCACACCCAATATTGATATTGAAAGTTGTTAAAGTATCTTGTGCTTTATATTGAATATGGGAACTTTTTTTGAAATCTTCATAGTATAGTAAATTATCTAGGTATCCTTCCAACAGCATTGAAACAATAACCAGCTGTTCTCGCCTTTCGCGTGCATGTCACTTGTGGATAGACTTTTAATAGACAATCTTTCTGTACAGATATATTGTTGAATAGAAAGTTGTCGAATAATGATAAACTAAAGAAGTAGCAATGTTTTCATTTGAAAATTGATGACTGCTACTTCTGGTTCTTTGTGAAAGAACGGTTTTCTATTCTTAACCAACATATTAATTTCCAATTGTGTGGCCAACGACCTTCGCTTTTTACTTCAGTATACAGAGGAAAATGCTTTTTATATACATTAATTTATCACTTCTTTCAAACGCAATGGCTTTTATGGGTGTCAGGTAGAAATAGGTTTGGATTTCGATTCTCTTTTGAATCCACAGCCGCTCACATATCTGAATATTCGTGGAAATGATTGTATCGTATATTTATCATTTCTCGTGGCATTTTTGGTATATTGAATCTCTGGATGTAAAACACCAGTGCAGTTGTTTAAAATTTGTGGGTAAGCAAAGCATGATAATGTCAACTTCATTTGAAATGATAGGGTTGATCTGTTATCTAAATTCAAACAAATTTTAAAGTTCTTACAGTTGCTTCAGTTGTTGAAATTGCTTGACCTGCAAGACTTCCTTGAGTTCTGTGGGTTACGTGAGCATCGTGAGTGAAATAGTTTTTTTTAGAGTTTCACGAGTTCAGGACTTACAAAAGCCGGACACATTTGAACATTAGCACAGCGGAATGAGATACAATAATGTTGTCAAAGCATCAAGCAAGAACATACCAAGTTAATTTGATCGTTACATTGATTCAATTATGTAAACTTCAATCCTATCGATTATTTCACTGATAAAGTGTGATAAAAAGATTTTTGCGGATGTCAAAATGCTGTCTTTTGTTTATTTTTTAACCAAGTACATGATAATTATGCTCTCAATAATAAAGCATAGTCAAGCAGAAAACAATAGAAATATCTTATGAGGAGTATTGAAGGGACATCGATAATGGAAATCTTAACCACTAATAATCAATAACTGTCCATGGGAAAAACACAGTATATTATCAATGGAAATCAGCATCTAAAGAGAACATGCATGTGATCTTCATATCCATCTTTTTTTCTTTTTTTTTTGAAATAATCATACTGCATGAATTATGAGAATCATCACTCTATTGTAATCATGACAGAATGAATCTTCATGTGAATAAATATATGAAAAAAAAGAACAATAGACTAACAAAGGTTAATAGTACAAGTTTGTTTTAATTCTTGACATTTTACAGTTTGAAAACAAAACAAAAAAACGAATAAACTTGAAAAAAACAACAACAACATGAGTACACAGAATAGAGATTGTTTGTCTATTTAAAATCACATACATAAAAGAGCAACTAATTTTCTTGTTTCTTTTAAATAGCAAACCTATTGAATGGTGCTTGTTATAATAAATAATAGATAAATTTTTTCAATTTTATTTTGAACAACACAACGATAAGCATCTGGAGCACGTTTCTGTAATATTTCTGATGCAAATTGACATGGTGGAAATATATGTACAACATAAACTGGTTGTAATAGACCGGGCAATAAAATATTAAAAATTCCAGCAGCTTGTTTTTCATGTAAATACTGAATAATATCATTTTTTAAATAACTTTGTTCAGAACGTATTTCATCTGGTGTTAAACCATTTGGTTCAGCAATTAATATACAATGATCATTATCCATTTGCATACGTTTCTGTACACCATCAAGTTGTATTTGTTCTAAACGCATACGTTGTGATATCCGTAAATTACGATGTGTATCCGAATGCCAATAATTTATTGATATACGTGCTATTTGAGGATTACCAGCTATAAATTGAGTTTTTATATATGCTTGATTATTTTTTAATATGATATATCCTTCCCATTGAATATTGTATGGATCATAAGATTGAAAATCATTTATATGATAACATTCACTTGTAAATGAATTCAACGATTGTTGAGCTGGTAAAGCATAACCATAGACTTCAGATAGATTTCCAAATGAAAAAATAGAATCTAGAATAATGTATATTAATTGAATTTTTTTAAAAGTATAAAACATACCTGATTCAAAAGATTGCTGTCGACTAATGGTACTGTTAGGTGTTGAACAATGGAATGATGATGTAGTGGATGAATTTGTAATAGAATCTCTAAACAAAAGAAAATTGTTTAGAGCTTATTCGCAAATCATGGAATGAAGAAATGCTTTACATCAATAGAAGAAATTTTAGAAAAATTGTTTGTTTTTACTAGAGACAAAATATTGATTACATAAATGATTCCGTCAATTTCCATGGCTAGCAGATGGTTTCTGAACAACTTTTTATGCGATATAGGAATAGTATTTTCTTCTTTTAGTTTCAGTTCAATTCATATCAAATTCCGTAAAATGTAGTGTGCAAGAAATATTACTAGATCTTTTTTTGACTTACGAGAGAATCTCTTCGGCTGCGTTCTTCCGATTTCAATGATTTTTTAGCTATAGATACATCATAGTATTCTAATAAAAATCTTTAAAAGATTTAGGTTCCAATTAGAATACTAAATAATATATGCAGGTTAAATAATCATTGAGATCGGAGCGAAGCATCTGAAGAAGACTCTTCATAAGATGACAACAACTCTATCGTATGTTATACAAAACCTTGAGTGTTAAAAAAAAAACAAGTTTACCTTCTTGATTCTTTATCATGACAATATTGTTGTCCAGACATATTTATATTGTAACAACAGTTACCAATAGTACTATTATTGCTACTTGTTGATAGTGTTCGTATTGATAATGGTGGTGAATCTAAAATAAAATTATGCGTTAAAGATTATTATTTTTTCTTTCAAAAAAAGAATTACTTGATGGTGGTCGTGCAACTAATGGATATGAATAGTGCTGATGATGAAACATGAATAAATTACTATCTTGCGTGATAAGTTGTGGAAATAGACGCATTGGTATTGATGAATGTTCATGATTAGTTATTGATCGAGAATTGCATGGATTTAATGTTTCATTGGTTACTGATGATGAGAAACAAGAAGGGTTTTTAATATCGGATAAAGCAGCTGGTATTGATATTGTTGATGTATCTGTGATAACTGCTTGATGATCAATCGGTAAATTATATGAATTGGTATTATCTAGAAGAAAATTATTTGTTACGTTTAATGATTTTTCGGTAGTTTTACCTAAACAAAAAAAAAATTTTGGTAAGAATAAATGAATTGATTTAATACATACAAGAAATGGTTGATATTGAAACTTCTTCAGATATTATTGATGAAGATCTCAAGACTTCTTGTTGAGAGACTTGACTAGCTTTTTTAAGTGAAGAATTTTCAATAGATGGTGATGTTGATTTGTCAACCAGAATGTAAGATAATAATTCATGTGTTTTTTGTTCTTTTTGATTTAGAATTTGTTGTTCATTGAAACTATTTTGCTGAGTATTATCGATTACTAGCGATGAAATAAGTTTTATTTGTTCATCGTAATTGAAATCGATTGAATTAACTGAAAAATACATAAAGATCGAAATTGATTTCAGTAAAAATGTAAAACATACTTAGTTGGTTGTGTGTCTCATTGCTTGTTAATATTGGTTTTGAAGGTATTGATTCTTGTTTAGTATTCGCCGGTATCGATTGAACATCATCATCTTTTGATGGTGTATTTGAAGATGCTACTGCTGTTATTAAATGATCATGATGATTAGTAAAAGCAGTATCGGTTTTATGTAATGTTGTATTTTCAGAAATTGTTTTGTTTAGAGATTTTTCTGCTGAAGATATTTTACATGTTATTATTTGCTGTTCATCGATAGATGGAAAATCTTTTAATTGTAATTTTATTTTCTTCGAAGAAAGATTTAATTGATCTATTGATGAACGTTTCGTTGGTAGAAAATTTGTCTTAGACATTATAGTTTTCTTTCTGAAAATTAATCCTTCATTATCAAACTTCGATATTTCCATTTGTTGTTGATTAATCCTATTTTCATTATTATGATCATTTTCTTCACTATCAAATATATTGCTATCAAAATTAGTTATTTTTTTATTATCAGTTTTTGTTAACATATCATATTCTGATTTGGATGAATCCATAATTACATTCTAGTAAAAAAAAAAAAGAACTAATTTTTATAAAAAGAAAGATAACAAATAAATGTTTCGTTTATTACATGTCGTTGTAATTGGGTTATATTTTTTGCTGAAACATCATCATCATTATTTTGCTGAGATAAATGATTGTCTTTTGTCGTTAATAAACTATATAAATATAAAGTTTTAAAAAATTGATTTATGTTGGAATTTTCATTGAAAGATCAATGAACATTGATGCACTTAAAATTTCTAAAACTATTAGTCGATCTGAAGGAAAACAGCAGACTTCAAGACTGAAGTTTTTGTTGTTTTCCCATGAGTCCAGACCCTGTGAGATTGAAGTGTGAACCAAGATGAGCTCCCGCCGCTAATTATAATGATATTGCTTTATTCTATCTATTTTAGGACATACTGCTTCATCATTTTTTCCTTAATCCTCTACAAAGGCAATAATGAAGTTGCTTGTATATATTATAACGAGCCGTTATTCATATATGGCCTATAATCAGATATCAATAACTTTTGTCATGATCAGTGACATTTCCATGATAATGCCCGTCACCGTCTGTGAGGGGGGGGGGGGGGGGGGGGGGCTAAGCTTCACCGCCACGCAAGTAGGGCGTTGTGANAAACCCTATAATTCGCCCGAACAACACTATGTTTTGTCCTTACAATAGTGGAGAAAACCTTTCCTGATTCATTTTTATACCTATACTTAAAAGTTAAATATCTCCCTCTACGCAAGCCATTAGCAGCTAATATTTTAACCCTGTTAGTTTCTCGGTGAGAGCTTTCATTTGACCCGAATATGTGGCATCTCCTTAAGTTACAGTACAAACACCTCCATTGTAAGTAAACTCGCCTTTGCCATTCGCAAACGATTTTACACGTCTAGTTTGATGAGCCTCTTAAAGAACTTTCGATTCATACAAGATACATCTAGGTTTGTTTCTGTATTGATAGGAAAACATTGAGTTTACTGTTTAAAAAAATCGTGATCAGACATTCAGAAAGGAAGCTAGGTTTTTTCGGTCTACCTTTTGGCTATAGCTGAGGGAGGCTTCATTTACGTAATCATTCCGAGAAAAAAACAGTTTATAGCATGACGAGCCATTTTTTACCAAATCCGCGGCCATAAATACTTCAGGCTAGTACAAACAAAATAAGAACAACTCTGTTAAATCAAATAGCAACTTTTTTGGCCTATCTTACGAAGATAGTAAACGGAATGAAACGAGTTTTAAAAATACTTACTTAACAGAAAACAGAATCAGCTTTATTTATCGCTGTTGGACATGTCCAAGTGCAAATTAAGTGTGAAAGTGAAATAATTTTCACGTCTTCTTCTAACGACAGACAATTGCCTAAGGTTCATTTTAACAAACAAACTAGCCACACTTGTGAAGTATGTTTTCTGAACAAATTGTTGAATTTTGTTGAGAATTCTACGTGATATAAGCTTAGCAATGTTTTCTATTCAAAATACAATTGGTTTGCAATCGTTTCATGTGCATTAATGACAAGGAAAAGGAATGTTAGTATTCTTTTTCATTGGAGTTACGTTCTCTAAAGAACACGAACGTCTCGGGCACATTGGCATCCATTTTCATTCTTCTTGTGGTAGATCACTATGTACTCCAGGATTCTTGAAAATAGGAACTCAGAAGTAGATCTCAGTTCTCAGAAATCTGAATTCATATACTGAATTCCTAAGAACAAGTCATCACATAAGCTTAATTTTAAGAAAACTAAAGCTGTTAGCGCAATTCCTGTGGAATTAAAATGCGAAACACGATGTAGCTAGTGTTATTAATTACATGAAATTTCTTTTATTTGATCTATTTTGACATACATTTCTTTATCACCATTTGTTTCATTCTTTAGAACTGCAATAAAGGAGTAGTTCATATATTCTAATGGTATGTTAGTGATATAAGGTCTGTAATGGTCTCTGAGGATCGTTCGTAACGGTCTGTGGAGAAGGGGTGGGCCCAAATTTCTATCCCTATATACTTCAACACTTCTTTTTGATCGTATTTTACAAAAAATAATCTATTACAACCACATCTAACTAAATCATTTTTTATGGTTCTTTACGTCGTTTCATAGCACTTCAATCAATTTATCCGTTAACGACAACCTCTATTTGCTTCCAATATTGATAACAAAAAGAGTTTAACAAGGCAATCATACTCTAAATATTTACAGAGATAGTATGTTGAAATAATTACGAGCGCATAAGCTAATACTGAAAGCATATACACTATTTTCGATAGATTGGAGCAACAGAAAGACATTAATAGGCATTATTCAATTCTTACTCTAATGGTGATGAAAGCATTCGATAAGCATACAAATACGTCCCAATGCGAAAGTTTCAGTGATAAGAACGCAAGATTGTATTCTTATGGACTCTTTTTAATGTTTTATATTGCTCTATCAGATTTATTATCGTAATACCAGAATACAACTGAATGTTCTCATCATTGTTCTCAATAATTATTCTTGGCGGAGTGATCGTACAAGATGCATACAGCTGGGGTCTAGTTGGACACAGTCTCGTTGCTCGTCTAGCTCAAAGTCAATTGACTAATGAAGCGTCTGACTGGGTTAAATCTCTTGTTCCTTGGTATTTATCAGGTAATTTGACTGCTGTAGCAATATGGGCTGACGATATTCTCTATCCGAATACAAATCCGTTTGGTCATCCAAATTGGCAGTGGAGTCGACCACTACACTACATCAATACACCAACTTGGATTTGTAACTATGATGCATCGAGAGATTGTGTCAATGATACTTGCGTTGAAGGTGCATTGAGGAACTATTCGAAACGTGCCATTGATGCTGAACTTGACGATGTTCAACATCAAGAAGCACTCATGTTTCTTGTTCACTATGTTGGTGATGTTCATCAACCGTTGCATGTTGGTTTCAAAACACATCTTGGAGGCAATACTGTTAGAGGTAAATTTTCATTGCTGAATTCAAAACAAAATAGTCGAAGTTCTAAATTTTGTAATTAGGCTACTTCATGAATGAAACTTTTCCAACGAATCTTCACTCATTATGGGATAGCGGGCTCATCAGGATACGATTGTCGCGTAATTTTGAATCGAATTTCACACGCTATTACGAATATATTCATGCGCTCATGCTTAGTCAAAGGCCAACAATTAATGATGACAAGTTTAACCAATGGGTTGATGAAAGTTCCAAAGTGGTTTGTCAACAAGTCTATTTTGATGAAACTAATATGACGATGAATGATTCGATCAATTTCACATTGGGTAATATCTACTACGAAAGAAATATCGAAATAATTGAACAACGTCTTGCTCAAGGAGGTCGACGATTGAGTGTTTTGCTTAATCATTTAGCTGCTAATCGTTCAATGGTACCATCGAGATGTGGAACATTGTGCTCGAACACAGTCAAGTTAATTATGCTAATTTATATTACTTTGAAATTGTTATTGTCATATGCTTGGTAAAAACTAGCGTTTTTTTGCAATAGGAAAAAACGAACAAAATGATCGTTCGATAATTTTTTGAATTGAGAAACATGAGCATATTGATGTCAATAGAATTTGACTTTAATAATGCAAATTGCTTGCTTTAGATGCATTGGTGTGGGTAGGTGTGAGTGGCAGGTGTGTAAATGAGTAAGGAATGGAAAACAGCTTCATTGTCAAGTCTACACTTTCACCCTAAATCTTCATACCATATTTCCTGACAATCCAATCTATCGGTAAGCAAATTTGTGTCCTATGAGCGACATTTTTTCATGGCCACCGTTGAAAATTTCATTTTGAAAAGAATTGTAAATCCTGAGGTGTATAAGATCAAAAATTGAAAGTTTCTTCACGGATATGACTAAGGTAGAATTGCAGTTCTTACTGACTTTGTTATTGTCATACAGCTATTTCTTCAAGGTACCATGAGTTGAACAGTAATATTGTCAAACATTGTCTTTTGATTATAAGTTGTGCTACAGGACTACGTAGATCAGATAACCATGTAATGAGATAGTACTTCTAGAAGCGAAACACGTTTCAGTTGGATCATGGTTTCCAATTTGGATCCATTGATAGGTATCACTATTCTTCGACACCCTATGTGCGCCACGAGTAGACGATTTTCATTTCAGTAAATTAACACATGGGCATCTTCTCCATGAGCCAACGAATAAACTTGGACCAAGCATTCCTGTTGGGCTTCTTCGTGAGTTGTAGAAATGTCCCATACTTAATTGGATCGCATTCGTCTTATTTTATTTTTCTTTCTTCTTCCTCTTAGACAGACTTTATAATAGTATTTTGTGTGATCTTGCTGATGCAATGATTCATAGAAACTATAAAATAGCTTTATAGCTCATTCAAAGAAATAATATTTATTACAAAACGATAGAACTCAAGCGTTAGCGAATTGCCTAAAACACATCGAGCTTTTTCGACTTTTGAAATAGGACTATCCTAGTGATTACACACTACGCCGAGACCTTGAATTGCACTTGTTTTACGATGCATCACGGTGGCAGTTAGCATTATAAGTAGCACGACGCATACATACATAGTGGACATCATGTTTTACTTTCAGAGAAGCGACAGTTTAGGTGTGTAATGAAATCTTTTCTTATATGTAACGAATATGATCTGAATATAAAAATAAACAGAAGGCTAACGACAAGAAGGATATAAGATAATAAGCCAAACTTTTATGCCATATAAATAATTTGAAACAAAAGTATTGCAGATAGGAGCACCAGTGAGTTAGCATTAATATGAATATTAATTTATACTTTTCCTAACACAGAGAAGTGATATGAACATTGAAGATTAATATTTTGGCATAGGCTGAGAAAAACTTATATAATAATAACTGTATTGGTATTAAATAATAGCGAATCAATATTAATGCTTTTACAGCTACGTTTCAGCATCAGGTTCCAGAAACAGAATATAAATATTATGTTTTGGTAACAGTTTCCAAAAAATGATAAATTGTTTTGTTTAGATTTCGAAATATAAAATTAAAACACACCTGTAAAAACATTAGCATTAATTTATTATTATTTAATTCTGATACATTCGGCATTAGATTTTTCTTTTGAAATTGATGTTAAAATATAAATTTTCAATACTAACACTAATAAAAAATATTAGCATTTTTAAAAATAGTTCATGTTAATTTACCATCCCTAGTTGTAATTTAAAACTAGGACAAGAACCAGACAATATTAATGAAACTCTAAGTCGATTCTGACAAAAAATCGACTAGACAAATGTTGTCGAAATCTTTTTTGTGAGAATTATGTCGTTACCTTCATGGCAATCGTAGTAACATAGACTATTTAGTTACTCCTGCCAATATATAAAGTGTGTTTTCAAAACCTTCTTTAGAGCATTTATTGAGAGTGCTCACAGAAAATCAATAGCAAGAGAAACATCCGAAAAACACGCAACCTAACATCTAACAGCTTTCGTCATTTTTCCACTGGAGTATGGAGCAAGTAAAGGCTGAGAATTCTTAAGTATGAATTCTTGCGAAATGAATAAATACATTTGAAGTTTTGTTTGTCGTATGCTGGTTATTTATCATTAAGAAACAGTCTACAAATCAATCGAACATCAACTACGTATCACGTAATGCTGAAAAAAACGGGCATCTACTTTTTGCATTGAATCAATAGCTCGTGCTTAGTTGTCTACAAATCAAAAAAATATTAGAATTTTTTATCAAGCCATGCAGAATAATGAGTCACACTAAGGATTACTATAACTAGGATAAAAAGATTCACGAAATGTTATACTTTTGCGGATGTAAGTGGCAATCTTGTATGTGACTATGAGTTTGTGGGTGAAAGTGAGGGCATGATAATGTAGGTGATCTCTTAGCTTAAAACCTCAACCTCACCAAATAGCTCATCTTCACTTCAAATATTGAATAAGTATAGTATACTTACCTGGAATACTACTCTAACAGAAGACAATATATTGTATTCTTCAAGATCAAATTGGGCCATTGAATTTTATGAAAAAAAGAGAATTTTTTTATAATTTTTGTAATAAAAAAACCGAAAGTAAGTCATGATAAGAATATCTTCATCATAATTTTAGAAAATCTTTCAAGATAAAAAGAACTTCATAATTTTCATATTGAATTTAAGTTACAGAGAGAAGTGAACCTTGATATGGAATCTTTTCATATTGGCGTCATCAGAGAAGTCTTGTCATTTGATCCAAACTAACAAAAATTCCAGCAAAATTTTTCTTTATTGAGAATGATATTATTGGCGCAACAAATATTCGAAAGACTCATATTAATCAATATTTGATGAAAATTCTTGTCTGTAAATATCAAAGTATAAATTTGAGGTCTAAATTAAAAGAGGAATACTAAAAATACATCGAACTAGCAAGAGAATAAGCATTCAACTGTCTGGAAAAATCGTCAGCAAAACGAAGGCTACTTATGAAAAGTTATTACTCATATATAAGCTTGTCATAAATACCTCGAATCATTTTTCCAATTAGAATTATCATAAAATCGTTCAGTTTATTGTTGATGTTTATGAGATAAATGTACTTTTAAAACGTACTTATATATATACATGATTTTTTAAACATAATCAAGCGTAGACAAAATATTATGTTTGTCAATTTTTCATTTTAGAAATTAATCTAATCTACTTTAGTTATGCTCTAGTTTGCATCAATTCAATAAATCTGGAGAAGAAATCGTTTCATATGGAATAAGCAGTGGGAGCTACTTTAACGATACTAAATGATTAAATTTTTCATACTCTCATCCGCTGCTTCGCTTCATATCGACTGATTCAAGACTTGAAGAAACGCGTTCTATTATTTTTATTTGTTATGAATCACACTCCACTTAATTTATTCTGACTTGTAGCCTATCTGAAGAGTGAGAATAGTATGTTCTTAATTTGAGTATATAATATAACTTGTATATTTTCATTGGAATTTAACATGGCATATAGAATATTTAGATATTAGTATGAACCAAAAAAATATATGTGAAGGTGAGGTGCTGTCTTAGTAGGCCAAGTAAATTCATAGTCAAAGTCAATTTATTACGTTATTCAATCAGTTGGTTAAGTTGAATATTTCATATCATAACCAATGATTGATTTTATTGTTCATTATTATTTGTTTATCGATAAAACAAAATTAAAGCTCTTTCAACCACACAAACAATACAAATAGATGCTTTCTTTACATAATCTTCCATTTGAGACATTACCTAAGATGACATCACAGTTATGATTATTCTTGACTTTGAAACGAATATGATATCCATGAATAGTTCTTAAATAATTATTTCTACTACATAGAATATCAATAATATTATTCATTATTGCTATATTTTAATATATGATCAACAGTAACCTAACTGTATTCTTCAATTCGAATGTTAATCTGACTATAATGAAAAACTTTATCGAACAAAATTTATTGAATTGGCAAATTCATTGTTAAAGTAAAAACTAGATTTATGCAACTAATGAGAAGACTTACAAAATATAAATATATAAAGATGATACAATGATAGAACTTGCCAATATAGTGACTCATTAAGCAAATCCCCAGGTGAATGTATATGGGCCGACTCCAACCGACAAACACTGGAAATTGATGGAGCGTCAAAGCAATACTTCAGGTCATAATGTCTCATGCTTTTTCCTGTTGTCTTCAGCCAACTTGGTGTTATATCCAATGGGAAACGATCAGAAGTCATCGGGAAATCCGGAGGTTTTCTGACTTGGAATCTGCTCGTATCTGGAGTTCAGAATCATCGACCTAATTATTAACAAAATAACGAAGAGAAGAAGCCTAATACGAAATAAGTTCGTTATTTTTAATGATGAGCAGGCAAATTTTTTCATATATAATCCGTTTCCATGTAAAAACTACCAATAACCACTGCTGATATACACATCAGTATAATATGCGCTATACACCGGTCGTTTCTTGCCAAAGTTTCATATTATGGTGTATTGTACCAAAACGGATGAATATTTTTTGAAGTTTGCTAAAACTGACAGAATTATGGCGTTTTCAATTTAGTTCTGTACTGTTGATTCAGCTGAGTCATTTGTACTAGTCACAGATCCCCAATTGGCTCCAGTTACGAGATAAATTTTTATTATGCATGGCGTTAGAACATGTTTTATGAGCAAACTATATTTTGAAACTGTTTTCTTCTCGGTTAATTTGAATTCTTTCTAATAAATAATTCGAATTTAGATAGGAAACATTCTATGTAATAGTTTATAGCTGGAATTGAAAGTCGTAAGCATTATCGTCGATAATGCGAACAAATATGCGACATGGTTTGAAGGTTAAATTTCACTTAGAATGAACTTTTAATTATCAAGTTAATGAGCCCATTTTTGAAAATCAATAATTTTACGCATGCTAGAAGAAAGGAAAAAAGGTTCGAGTAACAAATCGGTTTATTTTCAAAAGTATACCATGCAAATTGTAATACATAGAGAGTAGATATTGCTTAGTAATGAATCATGTTTTCTATGTATGAAACTGAGTCATGAATAATTATACAGATTAACTTCCACATATCACACGTTCATTTCATTTCAAATATTAATAAATCTACAACGAACACAATAAAATAATTGATATTATAGGATTTTATTTCAATTGATAGAATAGCCTCTCAACTGTTTATTATGAACTATCAGAAAGCAAAGACATCAAATAGATATTTCAATCATTTTTTTTCTATTCCACTAGATCTTTTATATACAAGAGATAACTAATTTACATGATGGCAATGAATATAAATGATGTACAAATTGACATTGAAGAAAATTGAACTATTCGATCATTAACAAATTTTATATTCGTACTATATGAAAGCAAAATTAACCATCAGAAAAATACAAACTGAATACGCTTGCCAATGAATATTTTGAAACGATAAAGTCATACGATGTCGCTTTCGTAAGTGTCTGACAAGGTATGTCTTGCATACCTTGCTCAATGTAGCCAATAAGAAATCAGTTTATGAAGTTATGTCATGTCAACAAAAAAGACAAGTTGTATACGAGTCAATTATAATTCAACAATTTGAAGCGAATCAGCATTCGCTAGAAGATCAATGTGATCTTTATTAGGTAATTAAATAACGCTTTATTTCTTCTAAATTTATCTTGTATTTCAATATGTAAAATATTAGATTTGAAATATATATATATATACATATATCAATTGAAATAATTTTATCTTTATGTTTTTCTTTTTGGTAAATGAAGAAAATATTTTTTATTATCAATATAAATCATAATTTATTATCTTGTTTTCTACGTATGCCGTAACATCCATCTACATTAAAGATGAGTCAGCATGCATTCATTTTATGTGGCAACTTATTTCTAACACATCTACAATAAAAATTATAATCATGTTGGGTGGATATGGTTTTTATCTTTTTAAATTAAATTAAATTAAACCAATTTTAAGATACTTATCATTAACTTTTGCATCACACAATTTGTGGTCAACAAAACAATATTTTTATTTAGAATGCTTCTTCTTTGATTAACAATGACCGATATGAGGTCATAATATTTACACAAGTATTTTGGTTCAAAAATGAAATATACTTCATCCATAAAATCAAACGAAATGTAAATTTATGTCTTCTGAATCTTAGTTTGATTGACGATAACATTTTTTGTTTGTAAATCGTTCCTAATAAAATAAAAGTAGCAGCCTTCAACATATATGACAGTTGACGTAAAAAAATATTGTATGATCATTAGGTAAGTTTGAATTCTATGGTGATTTTATACATGTTGTATGAAAAATAATTATAAATCTAGGAACTGTGAGTAGAATCAATAGAATTGAACTAATCAATATATTTTTATATTGACGAACTTTTTCACAAAAAAAGATTCTTTTATAAGCGTGATTTTCCTAAGCTTTGACTTGAGTAATAAGAAGCGACTGATGGTATGACATTTATAATTAATGACCTATTACAATGAAATAAATGAATAATCGAATCATATATTGTAAGAAATGTTGAAAATAAAATTGTACAACATGTTTTTTTTTAGAATTCATTATTCAGTAAATGGCAATATAATGAACGATACCGACGTATTAAAACTAGAATTGGAAAAACTTCTGTTGCATTTTTAGCAATTTGATAATAATCTTTTTCCAAGTTTAATAACAAGTAGAAATATTTTGAAGTAAACAATGTGAAAACTGAAAAAAATGACTTTCTAGATCTGTGACATTCTTCTTTTTTAATTTAAAACAACCCAAATATTCTCACTATTCGATTCAATCTGTATAGTTTTGTTGAGAGTAAAACTCTCCATCTGATGACATTATAATAAATATTTCATAGAGCAAGCCTGCCTGTTAAAAACATGATTTTCTAGAGGATACTCAAAAATACCGACAGTTGTCTATTCGAAATCTTTTTCTAGCGAAAACCAAGTTAGACCAGTCAAACAGTTGTTTGAATATATGATGGAAGGATAGTATTTGAACAGAGAATATCTTCTTTTGCACTACGTTAATATAGACTGTCGCACTTACATTTTTGGGCTGAGCTATAATTACTTGTTGAACATCATTTTTCATCTGATATGCACTCTGCACTATTTTCATATGTATTTACGTTATTTGTAATATATCAAGTTACACTCTTTTTATCAAAGCCAATAGAATGCAGTTGTATGGTTTCAATGTAAGTACTCAATTAAAACCAATCTCTTTCGATGATACTCAAACTGTGCCAACAATTGCAAATTTTTTTTAAATATTGGCAACATCGTTAATGCATATTCGAACGTACATAACAATTTTAATGTGTTCAATGAAAGTAAGTTATGCTCAACAAAAAATTCAAGTAAGATTTTTTCTTTTCTCTATTTTTATACATGATTCGCTGGAGCTTGAGCTACTCATTGTCATTAAAAATTGATTTTTTAACTTGTCTAAACAGTTTCGTCAGATTGAATCCCAGCAATAGAGTGGATATGTATTTCACCAAACACAAATATATCAAATGAAACTTAACATAGCATGTTGTTCTAAATGTTATCTTCTATCTACAAAAATGTGATGCGTAAAACTTTGCTTTATATTTAGTGAGATCTGTACTTAGATTGTTGTTAGGACTACGGTAAGCTTTCAACTCTCACTATTCATAGACTGGAGGTATGCTGCTCTATTTACGACATAAACGAATCTTTGGTCAGAACAAATAATGTTTGCAAATCAGAAAATCTATCTTTTGTTTCTTCATCGAATTTATTTTTCGTTTACTCATTTGTTTTATTTGGTCAGACCTAACTAAATTGTTTAAATTCTGTAGATTATCACAGTAGTCAGAACAAGTTGTGACTTTCTTTATGTTATTCATTGAGAAAATATTGAGACTACATAGATGGATATGCAGCTCAATTTTTAAAAACTTTCTCGTCTTCCAAAAATTCGATATTCAACATGTATCAGCTATTCAAATGACTTGATCAGATAATATACAAAATCCAAATTATCCAATTAAAAATTGTTAATATTATAACGAACCGATATGAAAATTACTTTTGCTTTCTTTAGCATGTACGATGTTTATTTGTTATTAGAAAAAAAAGGAAATAAGATACATATCTGTACATGCTAAGAATTTAAGATACAATATTTATTTTTTATCGACAACAAAAAAAATACAATTTATATAGAATCGACATAAAAAAAGAGGATAGATAGCACTATGAACAATATATACATACAATACATCAATGTGGATATCTAACATTTGATTTATTTGCGTGTTCGTAACTTTTTTTTTGTTTCAGATTTGTTCTAAAAATTTGAAATTAATAAAATAAATTTTAATTGCATTTAAATATTTTATTACCTCATCTTCATCTTTAGCAATAGGATTATTAAAAAGACGTGTACGAAGATTATATTTAGATTTTGGTGTTGGAATGTTCTGTACATGGGATGCATTCGGAGTTGGTAAAACAATTGGTCCTGGTGTTTTGACTACTGATGGAGGTAAACGATTGGTAGGTGTTGATGAGCCAAAGGCTACAACAGTATTTTTAACTTGTACAACTCGATTGACTCTTGTTGAATTTGTTAATGCTAAAAATTCCAAAAAGGACAATTGATGTTTTCTTTTTATTGAAAATACATACTTGGAGTGGCTCGGAAAAAGGATTGAATACGTTTAAATGTTGATGGCTTAGGAGTTTTGGTAACTTTATCATTCGATGGAGTTGCTTGTACTGTTGACGAATTAACAGTAACAGTAGCAAATGATGCTCTATCAAGCGATGTATCTCGTTGAATAGTAGCATAAAGTGGTGAATGTGATTCTTGTTGAATAGGCTCAGGTGAAGATTCGATAGTTTGCTTTTTAGGTCGACCACGAACGCCAGTTGTTTTAGGTTTGACTTTTGAATCTGTTTTATCCTCCTAAACAGTAAGAACTTGTTTATTTAGTTATTTTTTTTTGAAAGATGAAAACAAAATAAAAATGAATATACTTGTGCTTTCTTTTTTGTTTGTTTTATTGATGTAGCAGCATGTTTTTTTGTGCTTGTTGCTGATTCATTACGTGTAATTGGTTTTGATTTTTTATAAGTATTCATTTCATCTGATTGTTGAGTACATGTGGAAGTAGCATTTGTACTAGCTGTTGATTGATTACGAGCAATTCGTTTTGGCTTTTTGATCTCTTGTTCGTGTTGACTCTAAATCAATAAAACATTTGTACAATTGTAGAACAATATAGACAAAATATTTTTAATTTATTTTTATGAAAATTTGATTGTAGTCTTTTCTCTTCTGATTTTGTTTCGTATTCTCATCGATGTAAGTCATTCTTAATTTTAGAGGTATTCAGCATTTAATGAGAAAGTACACACATGATAGTACGACATATATATGAATTAGTTTTTGAGTCATTTGAGTCTAAAAGAAGAAATGCACCCTTATCTACCGAAGTATGTGAGATAATATTTTTTCGTCGGCACAAAATTGAAATAGAAGAACGATACTAGAACATGTCAAAAGAGAGTTCGATAACTGTGTTAGACAACGTGCTAGAGTCAATAAAAAAATCCAAACCCAATAGTTTCAGTTATTTTTCAGTTTTCCTTCAATCTTTTTTTGAACCAAACGGTTCATTGAATCATTGCTCATCTAGTTACGAAAAGGAGACGTCCTTCTATATTTGTGGTACAACAACTTATTAATATAGCTCGTGATCAAAATAATCGGAACAATGTAGGAACTCTTTTTTAATTTGGTAAAAGTTACTGCTATTTTCAACACATTTTATTCATGATCAAGAGAATAAAATTCAGGAACACACGTTAGAGAGGTGCAGAATCTATCGCTATAATTAGAACTTTTACCTCAAGAAGAGTAATTTTTCAAAAACCAAGAAAGAAAAAAGACTACTAAACACTTAAAATAATGCTATGTAAAAAATAAATTAGTTTCATCAATCATCGAATAGTACTGATAGTCTTGGTACTTGGCCATTCTAGAAATGATTTATCATTAGCCAAGGTTTAAAGTTTTCATCATAGATTTTGTTCATTTACTTATAAAATATCACTATAATGGCCTCAAATCGTCGTGAAACCACTGAGGGTAAGGATGAGAGTAGTAGGTTGGATTAAAGATTGGTAAGATAATGAGTTTTTCTAACTTGTTACTTTGTCATCGATGGTGTCATCACACCTTGAAGCATACAGTTTGTTATGCATATTAGAAAAAAACAAAGCAATGGTTAACCTTAACAACGATACAAGCAGATGAAACACTCTAATAATGCTACCTACATTTAGCGGAGATAAAAAAAAATAAAACAAAGTGTAGTATAGAACATAAGCAGGCCAGAGGAGATATGTGTCGACTGGTAAAAAGAATTAAACAAAAATCAATTGGATTGCTCTGTGCTAAGAAATTAATCATGCAATTGGCGTATGAACTTCATACCCTGATTGTTATGAAAGAAAGACTTTATTAGCTAATTTTATAGATTAAAAAATTTTCATGTAGACAATAATTTTTCTGACATGTTATTCTACATGTGTACGTACACATGGATAGATTCTGTCTGCCTGGCATATTACTAATAAAGGATTACGTGAATTAAATGTGTTATATAATTATTCAATGTTCATGACTTTCAACTAAAATTCTTATATTCAAAATATGTTTTAAAACTTTCTTTAACTGATAAATTTGTTGTTTCTATTCTTGAACTTTTTCAAAATTCTAAAGATGAAAGTTTCTATGCGTTTAATATATTGCATCTGTATGTGTGTTGTATGAATTACCTCGTCATTAGTACGTCGTTTCGCTCGAATACTACGTCTTTGTGGCTTAGCAATAGATTGTTCTTCATTAATTGTTGTTGTCGATGTTTTAGCATCGTGTATATCAATGATTGGAATTGATTTTGTGATTTCATATTGATGCATTTCATTTATTTCTATTTGTAGTGCATCATATTTAACTTGTAATGTTTGAAGATCATGGTTCATTTTAATAAAATCATATTGAACTTTTTGATATTGTGCTTGTTCATTACGTAATTTATCTTCAAATATTCTTGCTTTTTTTTCAGCATCTTGTTTACGAAAAAGTTCAAGACCAAGTTCACGTTTTAAACGTTGAATTTCATCTTGAAGATGTTGTTCATTTTCTTGAGATTTATTTTTATCTTGATCAATTTGTTCTATGGTTTTTAAATGTTCATTTGTTAAACGATCAAATTGTTGTTGAAGAGTTTTTAATTGTTTTTTTAATGAATCAATTTCTTCATGAGAATGTAGATTTTGTTCATGAGATTGTTTTTCTAATTTAACTAATTTTTGACGATATTGTTTTTCATTTAAAATAAGATCATTATATAATTGTTTAGTATGATGATGTTTTTCTTGTTCAAGACGAAGATCTTTTAATAAGATTTCATTTTGTTTTGATATCTATTAAAAAGAAAATTAATAAAAACTAACAGAAACGATAGAAATTTTACTGATTGATTTTCATTGATTAATGTTTCAATTTCTTGACGTTGATCAAGAAGATATTTTATAGTTTGTACTCTTTCTTGGCTAAATTAGATAAATGTAATTAGAGAAAAATGTTTTCTTCTACTTACTGTCGTTCAATCATAAATGTTCGTCGATTTGATGCTTGTTTTTGTAATAAATCTAACGCTTTTTTTACACAATATTTCCAATACGTTATCTAAAACAGTGAATCAAAAAGAAAAATTCTAAAGAAAGAATAAATTCTTACTGATTTTGTATTCGTCGGAATTATTAGTGAGGAACCATCTATTGCTTGTATGTCAAGTTCTATAAATGAAAACAAATTCATATTAACCATAAAGACAAATGCTACAAGTCTATTTTCATCCAAATATCCTTTCTAAATTATTCATCGTATCAAATTTTGAACAAACTTAAATTTATTCATTTTACAACAAGTATCAAAAATTATTACGATCTATTTTTTCACGATATCATTCATTAGAAAATTTTAAAAAAATGTTTCTTGTTACTGGCTCGTACACTAATAGATTTGGTTATTATGTCAAATAATGAAGAACTCAAATTGACTTTGAATTGAAGTGAAAATTCAAAATTATGACTTGATATAGATAGCTGGGCAAAGAACCTTCTCCTCTTTAAAATAGGATTTTCAAGCTATTATATGGTATCTAGATGAAACTCTGTATGCATATTGAGACTGACAAGTTATTTGTAGAGAAAAAACATCAACCTCATATCTCATTGTTTGTCAGAGTTAGAGCATATCAGACGTAAAATTTTCAGATTCGATGGGCTCTAGTTGTCTAGGAAATGTGCAGGATGCATGCACCAGTTACTGACAAAAAAAATCTGGAAAAAGTATGCTGTATCTTCGGGGCAACTATCCAATTTCGATTAGAAAATTTCATTAAGAGTATCAAAGTACAGTTCGATCGGGTTCAAAACGAGTTTGATCTATAGAGTCCAGATCCAAGAATGTTGGATATGACGAACTGTCATTGAAGCTATAACAGTTTTAGTATCCATTTTGTGTCTCTAACGCTATCCGACTACTTCAAGAAACAGGCTCAAATTTTTTAAAATTCTCTCTGTTGAATATTTGAGGCGTGCATTACTCCATGACATTACTCAGTTATGATGATGAAAGCAATTTTCTTCTTCGATTAAGATCTATGTTGAAAAAAGCCACGAGAGCCACTAGCTCTAAGAGTCAACTTAAAAACCAACAAAAAACCGACTCTATCTTTGAAGTGATCAGATGATCTCAGAGACACGAAAATTCCTTCAATATTTTCAACATGTATAATATAATTGTTATTTCTCTGACAGAATGCAAGAAATGGGAGTAAAATGTTTTTCAAAATGTGATGGTAAAATGCTACAATGTATCAGCAAAGTCCTAACTCAATACCATGTAATCGGTTGGAGTTTCAATTTTGAAGAGAAAGAGTCTTAATCTCTAATATCTCAAATCTGTCATTGAGCTTTTAATTATAGTTCATAAACTTTTGAAATTAAGTATTAAGTAAAAAGATTAGGTGTTGAATAAATATTCCTTTATCACTCGGTATCAACTTCATTAATCATCATAAAATAACCTTATTTCTACGTGTAGTCGCCACGCACTTCGTAAAGTTTAACATTACATCTTGATAAAAATTCAATAAAGCTAAACGCTGCATAGGGTACCATTTTTTACAACGATAAAGCATTATATGATGCCTATTAAGGTAGATTCGGGCCTGATACGAAAACTTCTAGCCTTGACTAAAAAAATAGAATAAATTCCTACCTTCAATATCATCATTATTACTAATATTTTTTCCATTTTTTTTTCTTAAAATACTATGCTTTCCAAGACGTTTTGGACCTTTATGTTTTGATTTACGTTGTTGTCGAATTAATGTACCACCAGCTTTTTGTTCATTCGGCACGATAATTGTCTATTAAAAAAACAAATAATTAATATTAATAAAAAAAAAACATATAGCTGAAAAAAAACCTTTTGTGCAAGTGCACAAAATTTCAATAAATCATTTGTTTGTGTAATAAATGTTGCACATGGATTAATATTACAACAAATAATTGTTCGACCACGACCAACAAAAAAAGGACGAAAAATACTTGTTAATACACTATTTCGATAGGGCACAAGCATTTGTTTTCTATTAAAAATAAAATCATCAACATTAATATAACTATTCATCGTTACATATGTATTCTTACTTTGCTGATTGGTTTTCATTTAATACTCGAATACAATCTTTAAATGTCATTAATGATGTATTAATATTACAAGTTTCAGTTAATTGTTTTCCAGTACCATTTACTGGTTCATTTCCAGCCAAATCACAAATATCTAATAGAGAAATCAAAATTAGAAGAAAAAAAAGTTTGTCAGCACAGTTGCTTCTTTGAGACTTAAATGTGGAACTCACATATTTTCTTTAGTCTTATTATACTAATACAAAATACGTGAAGTGACAAGTTTTTAGTAGACTAGTCGTTTTCCAACGATATATCAATCGTCATGGAACCGATCTATCACATTTATTTCTGCATTTTGTATTGACGATTTCCTTTTTGTTTGCTTTGTATTTTCATATCACGCTTTTCTTAACTTAGCATTATTATAATTGTAAACATTAATTTAACTGGTAAATAAGTCTCTTGTACATATCCATTATATATACAACAGCAAGTCTCAACGCATTAAAACATATCGAGGTAAACTCAAAAACACTGATATTGATTGTTTCTCAAAGCTAAGACTTGATCAGCTCAATATTGTTTTTTATGTTGATTATATGACGACTATGATAAATTAATTCATGACTACGCATCATTCGTGACATCTTGAATAGGAATTTCTTTTTGTACGGAAATCAAGCATGTATTCCTACCATTCAAACTTCGACAAACGACTTTGGAATGTTCTAGAATAGTAAAAGTCTTATTGTTATTGCTGTTCAGCGTCTTTCTCCATTGCTAAATAACTCTAGAAATGAAGTCTCACGCCTGCTGTTTTATCTCTCGTCTTACGTCTGGCAGAAGAAGGAGCGCAAAATATCGACTTAAAACCTACACTCAATATATTTATCTTCCCAATAAAAAATGTTAATTTTCTTACACATATGACTCATTGTTGGCTCTTCATCAAATTCATTAAGGTTAATAAGTGTAATACAAAGTACAGCATGTGATCTTGATGATGCTTCATTAAGAGTTGTTTTTGATGTTGAACGATTAGCTAAACCAAATTTAATTATATCTTCAGCTTCTTTTATATCAAATACAGGTATTTGAATAAGATTTTTAATAATTGTTGAATGATCATTTTGCATAAGACGAAGATTTTTACGTATTTTCATATATTTTGGTTGAACAAGTAAATCAAGAATATTTTCATTATATAACTCAAAAAATGATATCCATATTGAATAATGTTCATCTAATTATATTAAACAGTATAATATTATGTATCGCTTATAAATATTATTTTACCTTCAACAGAAAGATCTTCTAAATTATTTTGTTGTTGAATTATGTTTGGTAAACGCATTCGATACTAGAAAAATAAACTATCATTACATAATTTGTTTAAAAAAAAAGATAAAATATAACCATTTCATCTTTAAAAATATAATTTCGAACAGCTATTTCAATGTTAAGATCACAATCAATTGTTGGCATTAAATTCTCAAGACCAATTGGTTTAAATAAAACTTTCTCGTCAATATTTGAACCAACATTAAGAAATATTTGATGAAGACATTCAGGTATTAGACCTGGTTCATTCGCTGTACCAAACATTGTATGAGTCTTACCTAGAATATAAATATTAAATTGAATGCATGCGAAAAGAACTACATATTAATGTTCTGCAACCCAATTAGGTACCTAACATCCGGAGTATGGGTCCAGATTTAGGATCACACTTGAACTCAATCCAATAATTAATGAAATTTTGACGTTTCAAAATATTTTTTGCTTTTTCAAACTCCTATTTCTATGAAATAATAGGAGGGAGAAATCAGTTCAATGATGATTGCGCAATTTATAGTTACAGAAGTAGAAAGAAATATTGTTTTACTGAAAGAATTCATTTTTAATAAAAATTCATCAACAGATAATGATAAATTATATAAAGAAATAACAGAATAGTCGGAGAGGAAAATGAATTATCGTGATAGAAAAAGCATTTTTGTAAGTATCCATTATGATGATGTTTGACACCAATATTACATTTCATTCTAGCGTCATTAGCAACAAACAAATGTATACATAATGAAATCAATCGAATTTTAGAAGTAGAAACATACCAAGTGAATCCTGAATCACTTGTTTTGAAATGATCTCCTTTTTTGTTACTATTTACAGAACAAACTAAATAGTATAGTTTTTCATATAAGATAAAAGTTTGAAAACCATACTTTAACTGTGAAAGTATCTGCCTGATGTTGATTAGCTCCAATTGAGTACTGGAAATAACTATTCGGATCCGACTTGGAAAAATGGAATTCATGCACAACCATACTACATACCACTATTTGTTAGACCAAGTGTACAAAGAAGCAAGTTAGAGCCAGTAAAAATTTCATTCGTAGGTTGAGCAAGAATTCGTTCGAATAATTCCTGTTGACTACATTGATGATTGAATATTTGAGTGACCTTAAACAGAAAATTGTTGATCAAGTCAATTATGCTTTGTTATTTTGAAGTTTGTCATTCACATATGATTTATAAAAGATAATCAATAACATAACATTTTTACAAATGAGAAAAAATGAAGTAAAAGAAATTTTATGTCACTTATTAATTGATAGAAGGATATATACACTATGAAAATTGTGTTTTCTTTTTTAAAAATCTCATATTTAACATATAGACAATAAGAATTTCTCAACTTGATTTACACAATGAATAATATCGATTTAGTTCGTATTAAAACATACCTCATATTCATTATATGATGTTTGTAAAGTACGAATAGCATTGTTAATTGTTGGATAAAGTTTAACAGCAATATGCTTTTCGTCAATAATATCAATTAATTTTTGATTTTCACCACGTTCAATTTCATCACCAATAAACGGACGAATACGCAAGTAAACATTTAACGGAGGAGCATCACGACGTTTAGCTGTTTTAGTCGTTGTATCAAGACATATTGATATAATTCCTGTTTCTGTTGTATCCATCTTTTAAGAAACTATTCTTTCAAAAACAATGCTTCGCCAATGTAGAATTTTGGAAACAAGAATAGATTTTGATTAAAATATAAAAAATGTCAACATTTTATTTAACGATTGACAAAAACAGAGTTCATTTAATGTGACAAAGTTCAATGAAAATTTTTTTTCCTATTCAATACGAATGTTTTTATTGGTTGTTTTATTTGACCGGGAACAAAGACATCTTAATTTAGATGAAAACTTGCTATTTAACTATGAATAATATTTCGACTAGTTCATTTTATAAAAGTCTGATTGAGACAAAAAGTTGAGTTTTATGCGAGAAAATAATGCTTTTATGTCTTTGCAGATGTCGTAAGTAATGATAATGGAGACCATGATATTCTCTTACATTTTTAATGCGATGAGAAGCACAGCATTTATGTAGTCGTGCGAGAGGTTTTTTTTCTTACGAGATGTACATATCAAAACGCGTCATTATGTGACTCGATGATCTCGAGAACAGAAATTCTAAAAAAAAACTCTTTCGAACGCAAAAGTCGAAGTATCGAGGCCGAACCGATAAATTCTTTTGAGTTCTTCTCCAAAAGATGTTCGGTTTTCTTACAAATAGCCTTCGAAAATGACAAATTTTTAAGGACTTTGCTTGTTTTTCATTTTTGAGATAATTCAAACGAAAGTTAGGCGCCACTCTCTTTGTTCATATGTGAAACAGCTGTGAATATAGTCGATCATCGATAATTAAACAATCAAATCGTTCATTAGAAATATATGCGCTGTTATAGAGTTCTCGTAGCGATGAATTTTGCATGTCTGATTTACAAATTCTTTCAGATTTTTATCAGCTGATCGGTTGAAGGATGAATTTCAGAATTTACAGATAGAGAAAAAATGCTGATTTAAGTGAAACGTCAATATCATTTCGAAAAAAGCGAGCTCTGATGAATCTTAAAATCGTTTATTCGTTTTCATGAGATATCGTCTTTTTCGAAAAAATCGAAATTCAGGCTTCGCACCGCATTTCATATTCTAGAGAAACTCGAATATCATCTAGTTCATTTGTTTTCTGATTATGTATTTTGCATGACTACATTCATATAGTAGACGATAGCAAAAATTGTCAGTTTTTTTTTTAATTTTTGTAGCATAGGTTGGTAGTATTGCTGTTGTAGTGTTTGGTATTATTCGTAATAAAAAAAAAACATTTATTCTTGCTTAAGATTTATTTATTTTTGTGACATAAGAAGCAACTATGCCGACAACAACAACAACAAATAATCAAAATGATGAACAATCAGATTCTGGAAATAAGAAACTTGAGGTAAATGACAAATCTTTTTGTTTTTTTGACAAGATTTGATTTGTTATATATAGATATCAGTTCGTAATATAGCAATTCAAATGGATTATTGGACAGCTATAGATGATTATTTATTGGTTACAAGTGTATTACATTTATGTGATTTATAATAAGTTTATGAACGAGTGAAATTTTCCATGCTATTTCCATTAAAAAAAATATTCAAGATCGATGGCAATATTTGTTATATGATGCTTCAATATCAAAGTAAAGATTTGTTTTTTATCTTACAAACCAAATAATCGTGATATTCTATTTAGAATGATTGTAACAAAAATACAACAACTTTCAATGTTACGCATCCCAAATTTACAAATACCATTCAGTGAAGAAGAAAAAGAAGAACATTTATTAGCATCGATGCCATCATATGTAACTAAAGTCGAATTGGGTGTTTTTTTTAATAATAGATCTTTGTTGGTTAGACAATTCCAGCTTTATTTGATAATGAATTAGATACATGACATGTTTAAGTAAATATTCGCAACAATTTTGGTCAAATCGAACTCTTGAAGAACTATGTGAATGTTGGTTCCAATTATATTAACAAGATCGTTTTAATGATCAATCAAATGCAAGTTGGTAAATCAAATCGAAAATTTATATCGAATTTTTATGTTCATTTGTAGATAATTCTCAAACAATTTCAGATGATTGAAGGTTTGTGCGATAGTATTAATCTTTTCTCTTCATTGAATATTATTGTTTTATTTTTAACAGAAAATGCAACAGCAAACAAATGAGTAGTTTATTAGCACCATTTGAATTCGAATTATTATCGCGTAAGTTAATTAACAGATAGAACAATATTTCTTTTGACTCTTTGTTTTTTTGTTCATATAGGTAATAAAGAACAATTTGCAGATAAGACTTATCTTCCTCATGCACGTCTTCATGTTAATGATCGTCTCTATTGTATGTATTCTGATTAGGTAGAATTGTTAACTCAAAGTTCTTATTTGATTTAATTAATATTTAGCTCAATTTTAGAACTAATTTTCCTGATCAGAAATTTGACAATTCATATTAAAAGAATAATAATTCGTAACACACGATTATGTTATGTTATAAATAATTAGTCGACAACCAAAGTTTCGTCCATATTGAAATGAATTTTTCTATATTATTTTGACCTATGAGAATAGAACGCAACACATATATACAGAGGAGTTCGAGACATTTACGCACACAGAGTAGTTTTTTAAGTGTTTACTTCTTCTTTGAGAAAAGTAAAAATATGTGAATACATCCATTTTTGGATGACTTGTTGAGAGATGAGATGGGTTGTATGATATGAGACCAAAATTTCGACCTGATGGATTTCTAGTGAATGAATTACAATTCGAAATGTCGTACTTAGTGTCCTTGATATTGCCTGTTGGCAGAGCATAGCCAAAGCGCTTCTCTCGGAATGGTCAAAAGTTATCAACTTGAACTCACTTCATACGATCTATCTCATCTCAGCAAATCATTCAAAAATGGATGTATTCACATATTTTTACTTTTCTCAAAGAAGAAGTAAACACTTAAAAAACTACTGTGTTGCGTAACCGTCTCGAACTCCTGTATATATAGATATGTGTTGCGTTCTATTCTCATAGGTCAAAGTAATATAGAAAAATTCATTTCAATACGGGCGAAACTTTGGTTATCGACTAAATGATGACAATGAGTTTCGTGTGAATGATGCTTTCCTTAATCTAAATGAATCAAGTTCACTAGGTACTAGAGCAGTTATTAATGTAGATGTTTTTTTGAAAAAAATCAATTATTTTGTTTTATTTATTTATCTATTTTAGATACTTGACCATGCAATGGTTTTCCAAGCGATTAAATTACCTTAATTATGTTTATTTTATTTGTTTTTGTGTTCATTCAAATTTGTGGGCGGGGTGTGGGTATGGGGTGTGGGTGGATGTGGCAGTGGGTTTTCTTTTAACTTCACTCGCATCCACACCCACACCCTTCGAGACAATCGATTGTCAGTTATGTACAGTCTTTTAGTACGCTATGTAACATCGCCAAATTTTTTAATATCATCATGAAGTTAAATGATATTTAGTTAATCATATTGAACAATTGTTTTGAAAAAATGTATTGAAATGATCTGAATTTGACGCTTGTTAGCGTAGTCCCTTCGATAGTGACATTATACGTATGAAAAGTATCTAATGTGAAAATTTTTTCACACGTTATACTTATTTTTCAAGACAATCAATTTTTAGAGAAATGATTTCTGTATTTGGAACAGAATTTTTTTCCTTGTCACAATTCAGTCGTAATTTTTCTTTTTTCTAGTTTAATATTTTTATTATTTGATACAATGGAATTAATTGACAAATGCGTCTATTCTACATTACTCGTTGTATGCACAACAGTAGAGCTCAATACAGAATTGTATGTCGATCAATTCAAACAAACTGATATTGATTGTTTTTCACAATTATAACTTAATCAGTGGATTTTTGTTTATGTTGACTATATCACGACAGTTACAAATCAATGCTTTGTAGCTGGTGTAGTTGTTTCAACTATTCGAGCAGAAAGTGAAGTAACATTTGTTGATTCAAGGTCGACAGTGGATTTTTTTTTTCGTGTTTATCCACTAGTACAAGATTCGATAGTAAGTTTCTATTACAAGTATGAAGATAATAAGCAACCAATAGAAATTCTTCTTGATGTATTGATAGTTTTTCCATCAATTTTTTACACTTAAATCAAGCTTCACAAATACCATGAAGAATGTTTTTAAATGTATAACGTAAAGAAATATTTTTATTATATCACCATTTGCATCGTTAATATTGGTTTCATCGAAATAGAAGTCTTCTGATAATGACATCAATACTCTTTCAATATTATTTTTTCTTGCATTTGAAAATGATGGACAGATGTGGAATATGATCATATGCCTCTCTCGATCGAAGAAACATATTTTGTTTATAATTGTTAGAAAAGACATGTTGATTCTGATAAAATTTTTCATTACTATTTCGTTTCAAAACTTTTCCAGTTTTCTGTGAATTATCACCGTAATAGAAAAGTGATGAATGTGAATAGAAGATCTTTTTCAAAAGGAATCATAAAGATGATTCTATAGTATATTATTCGAGATTATTTTTTGTACAGCGATTATTTAAATTCACAAGTGTGTTAACAATCCTATGTCTGATAACACCAGATAATACGCAAATGGAAAATAAGTACGAGTGATAAATCATGTAAAAGATAAGAATAAAAAGCTGATTATTAACATATTTTTTCCATTATCATCATTTAGATTATAATTTTTCTAATTTTGCCAAAGAACTTCCAACTGTTCGGAAAATAAAACAACAAATATTCATGATTTTGTATTGATAAACTGTTAGAAACAATTCTTTCATATCATTTCATTCTCTTGCAATAATTATGTGTCACTTTCTAGTCTTACTTGTCTACTTTATTCAACCTCTTTATTCTTTGAATACTGTTCAAATTCTTGATCTTTTTCCTGAACATCACGATACAACTTCTTGGCATCTGAATGAAAATCAAAGTTCTCATTGGACAACTCAATTCATGGAAATGTTTGACGCAGCTATTATTCTTGCTGATCGGTACAAGATCTATGTGGATGGTCAGCCTATTAAAGACACTATCCTTC